TTTCAGTTTTATTTCCATTACGTGAAAACATTTTTGTTTTATTTATATATTATATTTTGATTGATTTTTTTATATATATATATAAAAAGTTTGTATTTCATTGCTAACACTATCTCAATATAAACAAACTATTGAAAAATAATATATAAAAATTTAGTCAAATAAATAACAAAATAAATAAACATATATTTAAAAAATAAAATAAAAATATAATTCAATGTATTTTTATGTTTTTAACACAACAACAACATAAAAGTAGTTATCCTTATATTAGTTATAAATAAAACAACAAAAACTAATTAAACTAATTAAACATTATTAATAAAAATGTATTTTTAAAAAAATTAGATTTAAAATTTTTAAATAAATACATTTATATTTATAATAATAATAATAATTATTTAGTATATTATATAATCATAACAATTAATGATATGAAAATGACTGTAATTTATTTATTTATTTATTTTTATATATATATATTTATTTCAGTTAACAGTTACCGGTAATTGTTTTTTGTAGACAAAACCGTAATAATAATAATAATAATAATAACTTTTGAAATAAATAGATTTAATAGTAGGAAAAAAACTTTTGATTTTGTTGTTGTTGTCATTTAATAACATCATTATTATAATTATAATAATAGTAATGTTTATATGTATATAAATAAATTATTTTCTTTAATCTCCATTAGTTTCATATATATATATATACCGGTATATAAAAAAATAAATGTTATTTTTATTTTATAATAACAAATAATAGATATTTATATATAAATATAATGCTTTAAGTAAATGAAAAACAAATATTTATGATTACCATGAGATATATAAAATCAAATAATAATTTATATATATATATACTGTACAGTATTTTTTGTATAAATTTAGATTTGAATTATAAACTAGGATTTAAAAAAAATCAATGCATTTCAAAATATATATATATATAAATCATTATAAATTTGTTAGAAAATATTTATTTTACTAAATAAATATTACAGTTTTATTATTAATTTTATTTTTTTTTATAAAACATGTTTCAATGATTGCCTTAACTCAACTAATTAACAAACAAACAAAATTTTTAAGTAAAATAATTATGTCACAAAAAAATCAATATTTTATTAATAATTTTTATATTTATTTTATGAAATTAGTTATAATTATGAAAAATTCATTGAAATTATTAATAAACAAATTAAAGTAAACTCTCATTAAGTGAATACATATATAACTTATATATATATACAGTATATACTGTATAAATATATTTTATTTTATTATAAATATTAAATTATTAAATTATTTATGCAATCAAACACACAATAAATACATTTATCTTATTTTTGAGTTATTTATAGTAATAAACTGTATTTCAATATTATTATTATTATTATTAATATTAGTATTTCAATATACATTTACATATAATTGAAAAATCAATATTATTATTAATAATACCGTATATTATCATACAATTTAATGTTGAACATATAAATTATTAATTCATTATATAATAGATATTATTAAATAATAATAATAATGGTATTAACAATAATAAACTATAAATTTTTTTTAGTATTACAGTATATAGTAATTATTATAAATATTTAATATATATTTTTTTACATTTAAAAACAAAAAAACAAAAGTTTTTAATTAAATTTTTTATGTTGAAAATGGTGATGAATTTTTTTTTTGAGTGATGTTTGAGTGATTGAATAAAATTGTTAAAATAAAATATTAGTTTTTTTTATAAAAAAAATTTATATATATTTTTTAAATAAATTGCTAGAATTCAGACTTAGTCTAAATCAACAAATTTGCACTTTTATTATGAGCTAACTGTGCTCTCCCTCTCTCTCTCTCTCTCTCTCTCTCTCTCTCTCTCTCTCTCTCTCTCTCTTTCACTCTCTCCCTCTCTCTCTTTCTCTCTCTCTCTTTCTCTCTCTCTCTCTCTCTCTCTCTCTCTCTCTCTCTCTCTCTCTCTCTCTCTCTCTCTCTCTCTCTCTCTGTCTGTCCATCAAAACGTTGACTTATCATTAAATTTCATCTGACAATTGACTTTTATAATGTAATAATAATAATAAATATTTATTATTATTATTATTATTATTATTAGTTGATATAATAAATTCCAATATTTTTATACATTTGATATTAAACTTTATATATATTTATTTATCAAATTTAGATCTAATATATAGTATTTTATTTTATTTTTATAAATAATAGATGAAAATAATTTTATATTACTATAATAATATTATTATACAATAGTATAAAATCGATATTATTATTATGTTTTAAATTTAAATAATATTAATGCTACAAATATTTATTAAAATAATATTATTTATAATTATATTAATACATTTTTTAAAAATAATTGTTTATAAATGATAAATAATTAAAAATTAATTTACTAAATGGTTTTTTATATAAAAAAAAATATTTATTATCATGTATTTAGTAAAAATTTTAATAACAGCATACAAAAAATATTATGTTAGCAAACAATCAATCATAGAAAATAACATTTTGATAAATTATTGTTAAACAATAATAATAATAATAATAATAACAATAATATAAAAAATAATATTATTTATATCATTATCTATATTGAGGTTAGACATGTTATGTTGGCCAGGGAGACAAACACAAAAAAACTATAGATAACATAATAACTGTATCATTGATAATATACAGACACTATTATCAGTATATATATATATATATATATATATATATATATATATATATATATATATATATATATATATATTTGTATCAGTAATATGTAGTCATAAGAATCGGTAGATTTTTTTTTATACAACTTTCCTATCGATTCCTTTCAACTGTCGATTCCTATTAAAATTTGTTTACACTTTACGGTTCACTTATACAACAGTATTAAAGTATTTATTGTATATTATTAGTTGACAGTTGTGTGTATTAAAAATAATTGTTTGTTTGTTTGTGAATATTTGGTATAAAAAAAATAAATAAAATAATATAATTTTAAAATTAAATTTTGTTTAATATATATATTAATAGAGATAATTAATGTTAAATAAGCTCATGATTGATAACAATGTCATATACAGTATTTTAAATAGGATTTATTTTTGGTATAAATTATATTTAATTTTATTTTTAAAAGTAAAAAATAGTTTGAATATTGTTTTTAAATATACTTTAGATTTATTTATAAAAACTATGAATATATATATAATATAATAAATTAAGTGTTAATTTTTATTTTTGGCAATTTTATTGCTACTAAGCGGATGTTAATTGTATTTTTTTTTAAATATATAATTTTAAATATATTTTTAAACTTTATATCTTTACAGACAGTATTAATGACTATAATTACTACTAATATAACACTAAATTTTTTTTTAAATTTTTTTTTGGCTAAACTATCTGTGAAAATAAAATATTTTGCATAATTATTACGCAAATATCACATAAATATTTTTTTTTGAAAAAAATAAATGATAAAAATTTAATTCATTTAATATATATTGATATATTATATTTATAAAGATTTATATTTTGTATAATAAATGAGATTTTTTTTTTATCATTATATACGGTATAATAGTATTACTATTAATAGTATGATTTAGACTACAGTTAAAGTCTAAGTTTTTAAAAAAATGTGATTTATTATTAAAAAGTACTATAATTTAGATTTTTTTTCTAGTCATTGATAATTTAATTTTTTATTTTTTTGAAAAAATTATATTATATATCAAACAACATATGTTTGAATGTTTTTAAAAAATCCTTGACTTTTACACTAATATAATATATTTTTTAGAGTACATTGAAACTAATGATCAGTTATATCCAGATTTTTAATCGTAAAAAATAATTATTAATAATAAATTATAAATATATTCAAGGTATGACATAATATATATATATATATGATATAATTATATAATAAAATTATATGTTAGTTGATAGAAAAATATTAAAAAAATATAGATTTACTATTATTTTTTCTCATTTATTTTATATTTTATTTTTTAATACTAAAACTATAATAATTATATATATATATAATATATTTTATACTGTGATTTTTATTATTCCCAACTAACCGATTAATAAGCAATTTTAATCTAATTAATTAATTTAATTATTCAAATTTAGTAACAAACAAAAAATTTGTTAATAATTTAAGATAAACAACAATAAAATATTTATAATAATAACATACAGTATATACTGTATATATAATATATTTTACATGAAACGTGACAAACATAAATAAATTATTTTTTCAACAAAAAATTTGTTAAATTTAAATATTAATCTAAATTAATTAGACATTAATTTTACATTATTAATAAAAATCAGTTATTAAGCAAAATTTTTCTAATTAATAATAAATTTATTTATACATTAATCGGATTGACTATTGATTGAAATAATTTTATTGAATTTCATGTAATATCATAAATACAATATAATTAAGTAATATTTAATATTTATATATATATAACTAAACTAATATTGTATTGAATATTATTATCAATTTTAGTTCAAATTTATCATATGATGATTCAAATCAAATAATATTGATATTAAATTTTATATATATATATATATATACAATCATAATTATTTATGAACATTAAAATTACATTTATTATTACTAATAATAATAAGAGATTTAATTGTATTACCAGTTAATTCAATGTATAAAATTAATATTAAATATATTTATTATATATATAAAATATATTCATATATACAGTATTATTACCGGTATATAACTAATACTACCAGTGATTATATCCAACTTATTTAATTAACTATTATTATAACCCACACACACACACACCTACACCTACATACATGTATTAATACATTTTGATTTAATTATTATTTATGGATTTTTATGTCAATTATAATATGTAATATTAAATCTGATTTTATTTTAATTTTTTTTGTATATCAATTGATCCACAGATCTTCATATTGCGTAAGTCGGCGACCCATCAGATCCTTGACGATGGCCTCCGATTTTATATCTGCAGTCTGTCCACTGATACCATTGTCTATAAAGTGAGTATTGATTTTAATTATTATTATTATTATTATTATTATTAGTTTTTTGTCTAAATTTTTATTAAATTAAATTGAATTTTATTTTAGTTGAAAATTACATTTATATAAAAATATTTATTAAATTCTTGTTGTTTAGTATTTTGTTTAATAATAGCAGTTTGTGTCATAAAAAACATGATATCATATATATATATATATAAATAGTTTTATAAATTCTTTAAACATAGAATATTCTCTTTAAATTTTTTCTTTAATTTTAATTTTATTAGTTTTTTTCAAAAATTTTATTTTAGTATTATTATTATTATTAGATTTTTTTTTTGTGTTGCTATCGGTTTTTCATTGGTTTCTATTAGCTGTTTAAAAAAAATTAAATTAAATGTCAAAACCTTTACACACAGTTTTACACTATAAAGTGTTATTAGTTTTACTATTTATATAAATTATATATTAAATATATAACTTTAAAAATATATTTTTTATTAGTTTCAGTCAATAACAGTATAATAGAAAAGTAATTAGTTTTTTTACAAAATCAAAATTATATAATAAAACCTAAATTCTAAAATTGSYTTAATAAAAAAATTGAAAAATATTGGACTTTTTATTTTTGTTTTTTTTGCACACAAAATACACATAACATTAAAAAATTTAGTGAAAATATATATTCAAAAAATAAATTCACACACAATTCACCTATTATTGTAAATAAAACTAACTAAACTAGTACAAAAAAATACTAAAAAAAAAATAATTTATGAAATAATATTTTTTAAATGTTAAAAACATAATAATTAAAATTTAATTGAAAGATTATTACTAAAAAATTATTATTGTATTAACAGTATACCAATATATATATATATAAATATAAAAATTAAAAAATTATTATTGTATTAACAGTATCAGTATACCAATATATATAGTATATATATATATATAAATATCAATTTATTATGCATATATGATATATATATATATATATATTGATATATTATAAATGCAAGAATATTCTGTGAATATAACAATGTGTTTACCATAGGGATAGTCTCTCTCTCTCTCTCTCTCTCTCTCTCTCTCTCTCTCTCTCTCTCTCTCTCTCTCTCTCTCTCTCTCTCTCTCTTTCTCTCAACACATTATGACTAACTAACTGACTGTCCATTTAAAAACCTAACCAATTGTCTCTCCCCCACCCACCCCACCATAATTCAGGGCCAATTCACGCCACCGCAACTCTGGCAATACTTTATCGACCTACAGGAGCAAACATTCGAAAGCTATCTGGCCTTGGTACATGCCCGTTTTTCGACCAATACCTATCCATCGTGGGAACGGGCCCACCCGCTACGCTACCTGGCCCACAATGGCGAAATCAATACACTGCGCGGTAATGTCAATCTGATGCGCGCCCGGGAGGGTGTTATGAAAAGCAAAAAATTGGGCTCAGATTTGGCCAAACTTTATCCAGTGGTCGAACCCGATATGTCTGATTCGGGTTCCGTCGATAATGTATTGGAATTTTTGTGTACCGCCGGCGGCCGATCGCTACCCGAAGCCGTAATGACAATGGTACCCGAGGCCTGGCAAAATGATCCGCTGATGCACCCGGATAAGAAACTATTCTACCAATGGTCCGGGTGTGCAATGGAACCGTGGGACGGACCGGCTCTGTTGACCTTTACCGACGGTCGCTATATTGGTGCCATATTGGACCGAAACGGTCTGCGGCCGTCCCGTTACTATCATACTAAGGACGGCTATGTTATTATGGCGTCCGAGGTTGGCGTTGTCGATGTGACCAACGATAATATCGTACTAAAGGTTAGTTATGTTATGTGTTGGTATGTCTGGTCATACCTAATATGTTTGGTGTGTGTGTGTGTGTGTGTGTGTGTGKTTTGACGTCAATAGTTAGKATATTTGATTAATGTTGTTTAACTGTTTAATAGCTAATTAATAGTTAATTAAATTTTTCAATAAACATTATAATGTATTTAATGTATAAATCGATACTACTTTTCCTCTCTCTCTCTCTCTCTCTCTCTCTTTCTGTCTCTCTTTCTCTCTATACCATCCCCTCTATCTATCTCTCTTAATGTATCAATAGGTTAGTAGTAGTAGTAKTAWTAGTAATACSTAATACTTTCCGTTTTTATTTTGTAGGCTTTSCAATGTTATCAAATTATTACAGTATGTTATGTGGTGTGTGTGTGTGTGTGTGTGTGTATGTGTGTGTGTRTGTGTGTGTGTGTGTATGTATGTATGTATGTATGTATATGTGTGTCGCTAATCTATCCGTAAAGTTAATTATAAATAACATTTCAATTAAATATAAGTTTGCTTTTAGTTGCTATCATTTTGTGCTGACCTTTCAAATTCAATGAAAAAAGTCTAATACCTATTAAATCATATATACTCTCTCTCTCTCTCTCTCTCTCTCTCTCTCTCTCTCTCTCTCTCCGATCTAATCTAACTATTTGTTTGCTTTTCGGGGGGAACCACCTCTATTTTTTAGGGTCGTCTACGTCCCGGTAGAATGCTATTGATTGACACAAAAGAAAAAGTTTTCGCCCGCGACGAGGAACTCAAACTGGCCATTGCCCGCAAACGGCCACTCGAACAATGGCTTCGGGAACTGTTCTCATTGGACGAACTACGATCGGCTCACGTAACCGGACTCAAGTCATTCAAACGTAAGGCYGTCCTCCTGGAAGGCCGTAGCGAAGATGAAGTACACGGCAGGGCTAAAGTACTGGAGGACAGGCGTCTGGCATTGTTTGCCTATACAACCGAAACAATCAATTTGCTAATACTGCCAATGGTTAAGACCGAAAAAGAGGCACTCGGGTCGATGGGCAACGAYTCACCCTTGGCCTGTCTGTCCCTGTGTCAGCCCCTGATCTACGACTATTTTAAGCAACTGTTCGCACAGGTAACCAATCCGCCGATTGATCCGTTCCGCGAACGTGTAGTCATGTCGCTGGCCTGTCCGGTAGGTCCCGAAGCCAACATACTCGAGTCGTCGGCCGAACAATGTCGCCGATTATGGCTCGAACAGCCCATACTGTCCATYACCGACYTGGATATCATCAAAGARACGTCGTATCAGGGCTGGCGTACAAAAGTCATTGACTGTGTATTTCCGATACAAGAGGGCAAACCCGGACTACTGCGGGCATTGGATCGTATATGCGAGGAGGCCTGTCAAGCGGCCAAACAAGGCTATACACTGGTCGTACTGAGCGACAGGCGTGCCGGTGCCAARTTTGTCCCAGTTAGTTCACTGCTGGCACTGGGAGCCACCCATCACTACTGATCAATGCCCGACAGCGTATGAAAGTCGGTCTGATAATGGAAACCGGCGAAGCTCGGGAAGTACATCATATGTGCGTACTGTTGGGCTACGGKGCGGACGCCATCTGTCCGTATCTGGTATTCGAAACTATGGCCGCCCTGCGCGAGGAAGGCCTACTACAGTTGTCCGACGCGGATGTATTTGCCAACTATGTGGCCGCCATGGAACGGGGTATATCGAAAGTAATGGCCAAAATGGGTATATCGACACTGCACTCGTACAAAGGTGCCCAGATTTTCGAGGCCGTCGGCCTCGGCGAGGAAGTCATCGATAAGTGTTTCAAAAATACCGCCTCCCGATTGGGCGGCGCCACTTTCGAGGTATTGGCCGACGAAGCACTCGAGCGGCACTCGATTGCATTTGCCGAACAATACTTTCGGGATTCGCATATACTTCGCAATCCCGGGTTCTATCACTGGCGATCGGGCGGCGAAAAACACATTAACGATCCGCTGGCCATTGCCAACCTACAGGACGCTGCGGTAACCAATTCGCGCGACGCTTACAAACAGTTTGTCGACAGTGCCAACCGAGCGGTGAAAGATTGTACACTACGTGGCCAACTGGAGATTGTCTACTCGTCCAAACCGATACCGCTGGACGAAGTCGAACCGGCGGCCAGTATTGTCAAACGATTTGTTACCGGTTAGTGTCCCGAACACACACAAAACACACACACATACATAAGCACACTATTAATCCTATGTTAACCTACAGGTGCCATGTCGTTCGGCTCCATCTCCTACGAAGCCCATACATCGCTGGCCAAAGCCATGAACCGATTGGGCGGTAAGTCGAATACGGGCGAAGGCGGCGAAGATGCCGAACGCTGGTCGACAGCCGATCCAATGAACAACGAACGATCGGCCATCAAACAGGTGGCCAGCGGCCGTTTCGGCGTAACGGCAGCCTATTTGGCCAATGCCGACGAAATCCAGATCAAGATGGCCCAGGGAGCCAAACCGGGCGAAGGCGGCGAACTGCCCGGCCATAAGGTATCGGTAGAGATTGCCCGTACCCGCCATTCGGTACCCGGTGTCGGTCTGATATCGCCGCCGCCGCATCACGACATCTATTCCATTGAAGACTTGGCCGAACTGATCTACGATCTTAAATGTTCGAACCCGAAGGCTCGCATTTCGGTCAAATTGGTCAGCGAAGTCGGTGTCGGTATAGTGGCAGCCGGAGTAGCCAAAGGCAAAGCCGAACATGTTACGATTTCGGGTCACGACGGCGGTACTGGTGCATCGTCGTGGACGGGTATCAAAGGTGCCGGCCTACCATGGGAACTGGGCATTTCCGAAACACATCAGGTACTGGTGGCCAACGATCTACGATCGCGTGTCGTATTGCAATGTGACGGTCAAATCAGGACAGCTTTCGACGTAATAGTGGCCGCACTGCTCGGTGCCGACGAATTTGGGTTTTCCACTGCACCGCTCATAGCCCTGGGCTGTATAATGATGCGTAAGTGTCATCTGAATACCTGTCCGGTTGGTATTGCCACCCAAGACCCGGAACTRCGCAARAAATTCGAAGGCAAACCCGAATATGTGGTCAACTATTTGTTTCTGTTGGCCGAAGAGATTCGCCAAGAGATGGCCAAACTTCGGATCCGTAGATTTCAGCAACTGATCGGCCGTACGGAACTGTTGCGCTTCAAACCCGATCCCCGCAACCCGAAGGCCAGTCTACTGGACTATACGATGATACTGTGCAATGCACTATCGTTGCGACCTGAAACCAATATTATCGGCGGATCAGTGGCCCAGGACTTTCAACTGGACAATCGATTGGACAACAAAGTCATATCGGCTGCCAAAGACATACTCGACGGTAACAATTCAAATCCTATTGATTTGTCGCTGGCCATTGCCAACCAGGACCGTGCTTTCGGCGCTACACTTAGCTATCATATTGCCACACGTTTCGGCGAACAAGGTCTGGCCCGTGATCTGATTACAATCAAATTTCTCGGATCTGCCGGCCAATCGTTTTGCCTGTTTCTGGCCAAAGGTGTTGTCGTTGAACTGGAAGGCGATTCCAACGATTACGTTGGCAAAGGTCTATCGGGCGGCGAAGTGATTGTCTATCCGCCCAAAGATATGCCCCAAGAATTCCGATCGCAGGACAACATTATTGTCGGCAATGTTTGCCTATACGGCGCCACTTCGGGCAAAGCCTTTATCAGGGGTGTGGCCGCCGAACGATTCTGTGTCCGCAATTCAGGTGCAACGGCTGTCATCGAAGGAGTCGGCGATCACGGCTGCGAATACATGACCGGCGGTGTGGTTGTCATTCTTGGACCGACTGGCCGTAACTTTGCTGCGGGAATGTCCGGCGGAATCGCTTACGTATACGATATGTATGTTGTTATTTAGGGAACCGGTATCTGATTATAATAACCGTTTTGTTGATGTTTTTTTATTGTTGTCATCAGTGAAGGCAAGTTTGCCTCGAAGTGCAATCAGGGAACTGTCGATCTGTTACCACTTGAAGACAAAGCGGACATCGATTTGGTTAAGTCGTTGCTGAAAGAGTTCAACGAAAAAACTGGTTCCGAAGTGGCCGACGAACTACTGAAACAATGGGACAATCAGTTGGCAGCGAAAAAGTTTGTCAAAGTTTTTCCAACCGATTATCAGCGAGTTCTTCGCGAACAACGCGAAGCACTGGAAGCCAGTGTCCAGCAAAAGACAATCGCCGCCGAAGACAACGATAAGTCGGATAAATCATTGGCTGATGTTAAGGACATCGAAGACTCGGTTCCCGATCAGACAAAACTSGAYAAATTGCGCGGATTTATGAAATACAARCGAATCAAAGGCTATTATCGGGACGTAAATCGTCGGACAAAAGACTGGAACGAAATATTTGACCACAAGTTTATCCGCGACAATGTCCGGACACAGGCGTCGAGGTTTGTCTCACTCACTCACTCAATCACTCACTCACTCACTCTCTCACTCACTCACTCACTCACTCTCACTCACTCACTCACTCTCACTCACTCACTCACTCACTCACTCACTCACTCACACTCACTCACACTCACTCACACTCACTCACACTCACTCACACTCACTCACACTCACTCACACTCACTCACACTCACTCACTCACTCACTCACTCACTCACTCACTCACTCACTCACTCACTCACTCACTCACTCTCTCTCTCTCTCTCACCCACTCTCAATATCTCTCTCTCTCTCTCGGCACAGGTGTATGGAATGTKGTGTAYCGTTTTGCCAGTCCTCACACGGCTGTCCACTCGGCAATATCATCCCCCGTTGGAACGATTTGGTCCATCAGGACGACTGGTACGAAGCCATGAAACAGTTGCTGCAGACCAACAACTTTCCCGAATTTACCGGYCGKGTATGTCCGGCACCGTGCGAAGGTGCCTGCGTTCTGGGTATCAACGAACCGCCGGTGGCCATCAAAACCATCGAAGTGTCCATCATTGAAACGGCCTTCGAACGCGGCTGGATCAAAGCTAATCCGCCGAAACTACGATCGGGCAAACGTGTGGCCATTATCGGATCGGGACCGTCGGGCCTCGCATGCGCCGATCAGCTGAACAAAAAAGGACATTCGGTTACTGTTTACGAACGCAACGACCGTATCGGCGGACTCTTACAGTACGGCATACCGACAATGAAACTATCGAAACAAGTAGTCCAGCGTCGGGTGGATCTGATGGCCGACGAAGGCGTCCAATTCAAGCCGAATACCAATGTCGGCAAAGATATTACCGGCGATGAACTGCTGAAAAACTTTGATGCCGTTTGTCTGACCACTGGCGCCACTTGGCCCAGAGATTTGCCGATACCTGGCCGGTCGCTGAACGGTGTCTACTATGCCATGACTTTTCTGGAGTCATCGCAAAAACAGTTGATTAGCGCCGCAAACAATGGTAACACTAAATCAGCCCAAGTGGCCAATCAGTTGACCGCCAAAGACAAGCGAGTTATTGTTGTCGGCGGCGGTGATACCGGTTGCGACTGTATTGGCACATCATTCAGACAGGTTAGTACTGTCCCCTCCCCTCCCTAACAAACTCCCGGAGCTCACAAAATAATCACTAATTTTTGCACTTTTCCATCACTTTTCCCGTTCCGGGTAAATAAAAAGGGCGCCAAAAGTATCGTATCGTTTGAGATATTGCCGCGACCTACCGATGGACGCGAGGCCAACAATCCGTGGCCACAGTGGCCACGAATTTATCGCAAAGACTACGGACACGAGGAGGTGGAACAAAAATGGGGTTCCGATCCGCGCATATTCGGTATATCCAGCAAAGAGTTTCTGGACGACGGCAACGGTAACGTTCGCGGTATTCGCGCCGTACGTGTCGAGTGGTCGCAGGACGCGGCCGGCCGGTGGTCAATGAAAGAGGTGGCCGATTCGGAACAGATCTATGAGGTAAAGCCGTTGATCTATTAGAGAGGGGTTAGACCTACTTATCTATAACTTTCCCGATATATATTATATTAGGCCGATATCGTACTGTTGGCAATGGGTTTCTTGGGTCCCGAAAGCTATCTGACTGAACAGTTGCGGCTGACCAAAGACCAGCGCAGTAACGTACTGACCAAATCGGGTACCTATCGTACGCCAATGGATCGTATCTATGCGGCCGGCGATTGCCGTCGCGGTCAGTCACTGGTGGTGCACGCCATCAACGAAGGTCGTCAGGCGGCCCGCGAAATCGATACCGATCTCAATGCCGGGTTTTCGACACTACCCGGACCTGGAGGTGTCATACCGTATCCGCCGATCGGCGCCAAATTGGTGGCCGGCTAACCGGGATGGGTGGGTTTGTTTTTTTTTTGGTTTTCCCGACCGCCCGCCCGCCCGCTAGCGGGCCAAAAAACTATTGATATAAAAATAATTTATAAATATATATATATATATAATGTTTTTTTTTTATTTAAAAAAATAAGTTTTTAGTGTTTTATTAGACAGAGAGAGAGGTAAGAGAGAGAGAGAGAGAGAGAGAGAGAGAGAGAGAGAGAGCCTACCATTCCTTTCGGTCAGTCATTGAGTAAAAGAAAAATACATTTATTTTTAATTAATTTTTTTTTTATATAAAAAAAAGTATCGGAGATACAAATTATGTGAATTTTTGAGATTTTTATTTTTAAATTTTTAATTTAAGAGATTGTCTATTAAATGTAAAAATTTAATTAAATTAATTAACTATTTTTTAAAAGAAAAATCATTTCATTTAATATTAATATTATTATTAGATAACTAATACTTATAAAATAATTAATGATTTAATAATTAAATCAATTGTTGTTTTTTTGTGTGCGTGTATTTGGTGTCCAAAATGATAACAAAAAAAATATTAATTTATTGATATTTATCGATAATAATAATAATAATAATAATAATCAATACATAGCCTTTTATGAAATTGATGTTTAAATTAGATAATCAAAAAATAATAATAATAATAATTAATTAAAATTTGTTTAGACTATCAAATTGAATACAATTATTACGATTTTTTTTAATAAGATTTTTATTAATATTATTATTATTACTAAAAAAAAAATATTTTTTAAAAAAATTGTATTTAATATTATTGTTAAGTGCTTTTAAATTATTATTATTATTATTGAATATTAAGTTAAATCAATTATTACACATATATTAGCAATTATAATACAAATGAAATACTTATGGGTGATATTTTATGAGAGATAATTACGATAATAATAATAATAATTAGGATAAATAGATCATAATTTTTTTTATTTGAAATATATATATATATATATACCGTATATATATATATATATTTATTTTAAAAATAAATAAATAATAATTTAGATACAAATGTTATTTTCAATTGAATATTTATTTTATAAGAGTTTTATTTGCATATATGTTTGCAAAATATAGATTTAATAATTATTATTAATAATAATAATAATAATAATATAATTTATATCTAAATATAATTAGTTTATAAATTTATTATTATTATAATTTAAAAATTTTATAATTTAATTACTAGTGTGTTTTTAAATATCAAAAATTATTTATAGAAAAAAAAATTATTAATAATTTTATTGAACTTTTTTTGTTGTTGTTTTTGATTTACATTGTTTTTTAAGTGTCGGTAAATATAATTGTTTCACAAAAAAACACAACAAAATTAATTGATGTCTATATTTATATATATATATATATATATATCGATGTTAATTACAAAATAATAAAATTAAAAAATTTAATTGTATTTGTGGTTTTTAAACAATAATAATAATAACGATAAAAAATATGTACTTTAAAATTAATTGTATAACAATTATATTATTACTATTGATATATATATATAAATAATATCTATAAAAAAAATTATTGATATGTTATATGAAATGCCAATAATAATATTATTATTATTATTATATTATATAACAGAGTCTTCCATTTAAGGCAATCACTGTATTATTAATATATATTATGTATTAATAATATATTTAAATATAAAAAAACAACAACAAAAATATTTAATTAAAAAGATATATATATAATATTAATATACTATTTAAATAAATATATAATATTATAATTATTATTATAAAATGTAGAAATATATTTAGTTTTTAAAAAATAAATAATAGATTATAATTTTAATTATATATATATTATTAGTTAAAATTAATTAATTAATTTTATAAATTATTATAAATAGTAAGAAAAATATTTGTAATTTAATTTTATGTATATATATATATTGTTTGTTTGTATTTTTTTTTGTTGGAAATTTTATTCAATAAAAATCTATTAATAATTATAATGAATTATTTTGTAATTATTTTATTTAATTTTCTAATAACTGTAACAATTATCAAATTGTTTGTTTGTTTTGTTGATTACAAGAAAACTCAGTGTAATAAAAATTTTAAACTGTTAATAAATTGACCATGAACAATTACAGTATTTTTGACTAATTAAAAAAAATCAATGAACAATTTTATTTTATTAAATGTCAATTAATAGTGATATATTATATATACCATAATATGGTAACCATATATATACAGAAAGTGAAAGTCTAGTAAACTATGTGTGTGTGTAATAATTAAGTTAAATTTTATATACATTTATGTGACACTGTCTATGTATGTATGTATGTGTGTGTGTGTGTGTGTGTGTGTGTGTGTGTGTGTGTTTATTTATGTGTGTGTTTATGTGTGTGTGTGTGTGTGTGTGTTTATGTGCGTGTATGTGTGTGTATGTGGTTGTGTATGTATGTATGTGTGTGTGTGTGTTTATGTGCGTGTATGTGTGTGTATGTGGTTGTGTATGTATGTATGTGTGTGTGTGTGTGTGTGTGTATGTGTGTTTATGTGCGTGTATGTGTGTATATGTGGTTGTGTATGTATGTATGTATGTATGTGTGTGTGTGTGTGTGTGTGTGTGTGTGTGTGTGTGTGCACATATATACATATATTCATAGTTTCACATAATTGCATATAAAGTTTAGCTTTTATTACACACACACCACACACACACACACACACACACACACACACACACACACACACACACACACACATAGTTTACTAGACTTTCACTTTCTGTATATATAATATTAAAAAATAATTGACATTTAATTAAAAAAAAATAACTGACATTTAATATTGATTGTAAATTAGTTTTTTWAAAAAAAAAAAATATATAAATAATCACGAATAAATAACTTTTAATTTTATTATTTTCATTAAAAATTCGATAATACTTTTTTATTTATTTATTATACAAAATATTATTAATACTTTTTTTTAAAAAAAATTCATATAAAATAATATTTTTCTATACAATAATATAGATTTTAATAATAATGATAATTATCAATAAAAAAAAATAATAATAAAATTACTTATTATACAATTGTTAAATATTTAAATTTAAAAACAATAATAATAATAATTAATTTGTGTGAAAAAAATAATGTAAGCAACAAATAAATTATATACAATAGTAATAATAATAATAATTATAATATTAATTCAAATAAATAATTGTAACAAAAAAATTTTTTTTACTATAAATTCTTACAAATTAAATACAACAACAAAAATGAAATTATTTATTACTAAAATAAACAATAATTATGTTATCAAATGTTGTAGTAGTAGTAGTAGTAGTAGTAGTAGTTATGGCCGAAAAATAATAATAATAATAATTACGGTAATAATCACAGATAAGCAGTCCATCCGACATACATAACACCCAAATTGTTGATATCCGTGGCCTCCTATACATAGTATACAAAAACAATATATACTGTATATATAATTATCGGTAATATATAACAAATAAACAACAAAATCAATACTTTTATCACATGATCGACCTGTCCCTCGACAGACAGGGCAATGCCTTTCGGCAGATTTCGGTCGTTGCGATCGGGAATGCCGTTCAGTCGCCACTCTATGTTAGACACTACACGTTCAGCCTATATATATCGATAATTAGCGGAATTAAAAAATTATTTGTTTTGATAGTTAGTGGGGTGGGTGGGTGGAGGGGAACGAAACTTACTATATCCAGTGTAAACTCGTTGGATTGTTGCCGTGAGTCGGCCGCACCACCGCCGCCTGACGACCGGTTCCATTCATACAGATGATCGAAACGCATGGGCGTAACAAAATTCATTACGGCATCCCTATTATCGCGGGCCACACGCATCGTATGTTCGCAGGCACGCCTATAGACACCCTCGTAATCGGTAACACCCATAGCGTTGATCATATTGTGTGTCAGTCGAAACGGTACGGTTTCGGGTACCTGAAATTCTTCGCCCTTATTGAACATACAATTCAAATCGACGTGAACCGTCTGGCCAGTCGATTCGTCGATCATAATGTTTTCGCCGTGACGGTCGCCCAACCCCAGCAAATAGCCGACAATACTGAACACGGCTGTCGATCGGGTATAGGCTAGTCGGGCGGCAAACCACGACAGCGGATCCGTATATTGTTGGACAAACCAATTGGCGAAAACTGCCGGTCGGAATTTCGGCAGAATATCTGTCCGAAAACGCCTGACTCGTTCCTGTTTGCTTAGTGAGGCCGGCGGCGGATAGTTTCGTATAACTGATTCCCTGATCGCATCGTATTCGCGACTCAACCGGTACTGGCCTTCGACAATCGTCCTGAACGGCAACAAACCGGGTATCCATTCGATGAGTCCGCACTGGTCGGTCAAGGATATAACCAAATAGATTTTGGCCGACAATTGCCGTCGACGGCTATCCGGATCGCGTTTGAAACATCGGTTCAATAGATTACAAAATTCAATAAAACAGTAGTCTTTGCGCAGATCGTCGCCCGGTTTGCAAAGCATTGTATATTTGTTGCCATCGCTTCCATGGATGGCAATCTTCTTGGGCCTCTGGAGTGAGTGCAACAGTTCAATGGTATCGTCAAACTTGTCGATATAGACATCTTTGGCCGGAAACGGCTGATGTTGATTGTTGTCTGCTGTGCTGCTGTTGTTGGTGGTGGTGGTGGTGGTGGCGGCTGCCGAGGTCGACGACTTCGGCAGTGTTACGTTGACCAGCGATCGAAACGGCAGTAAAATCTGACTAAAACCCGACGACTTATCAAACAGATTGTATAGTTCGCGAAAATCCGATCGCAACGACAGTTTTGATTGGCGAGCGGCTCGCTGTCCACCGGCGCCGCCGCCGCGCGTACGGCTCGAATCTTTCTGGCACATGTCGATCATCAGACGGGACAAGTGTTTGATATCGTTGACAAACTTTGTCAACTGCTGCGGCCTCTGGAGTACCGCCTTCTGTACGATATCGTTGAAACAGTTTTTCCGATTCAGATTATGCGAATTCAACGATCGCATCAATAGCCACATTGTTTGCTGAGGATAGTCGCCAACCAGTCGCTGCAAAATTGTTTTGATTACCGACTGTATGTTGGGTTCGCTGTGCAAACATCGGGCACACAATTGGGCAAATATTATGAAAAATATATAGCTGGGAACGTTAGCCAACAGGTCCAACATATGGCTGTGTATTTTCGACAACAATTTCTGTAAGTTTGTCATCTGATTGGCTATTAATTAATTACCGATAATTGATTGAGAAATAATAACTTAAATTTTTTTATATATAAATAATAATAAAAGTAAATACCATTCCTCGTGGTTCTAGCTCTGGCATAATCGTTGGCAAACTCGAACCATATGTTGAATATTAATGGCAACGATTTGTGGGCGTGTTTGACACCAAACTTCAGCGACTCGACCGACGATTTTACTGTCTGACACTTCAGAGCACTCAGTTCATCGCTTTTGGCAAAACCGCCGGCACTGCCGCCAGTCCTACGAGTTTCCTGATAACCGGTATACAGTTTATGGCAATACTGTGCCAGACTATAGTGACTGTCCTCGCTATTGGGTGCGGCAATTGTTACCGTTTTGTAGATAATCATCAACGAATTTGGATTCAATAGCTGCTGTTGGTCACAGTATTTGGCGTAAAGTAGTTGCAATCGAGCGAACGCTTCGTCGGCGGCACCCGAATGCGGTGTCAGACTACTAGACAACTGGTCGCCGCCACCGCCGCCGCTCGGCGATACCGAAACATCAACCGGATTCGTGGCACTGCCTACTGCTGCTGCTGCTGCTGCAGCGGTGCCGCCGCCGCCACTGACGCGACCGCTGCTGCCGGTAACCGATAGACTGCCAAACGACATGTTATTCCTGATCTCTTTGAGTTCTTCGGGAGTAAATCGATCGCTCAAATTGCTGGTCGCCTTCTGGAAGCATTGATTCAGTGAATAACTAAAATTCTGCGATATCTGATTGTGAAGATATTTGATGGCTTCTGTAATATCGGTAATAATAATAATAATAATAATAATAATTACCGATAAAGACAACAACAAAATAAAAATTAGTTATTAATAACTCATTTAAAAATCAATACCTATTTTATGATTCTTATTCCAACAGACTTTGGCCGTCTCGAGAATTGTTTCGCAATTGTCCGCATCGGACAATGCACTGACCGATAGGCCGACAGCAGTATCGCCGAGCGATATATTCAACGAATCTCTGATTTTATTCATTTCCAACAAACAATTATACGAACGTTGAATGTTTCCCGATTTGCGGGCCGTTTTTGTGCTCATCAGCCACGACTGGAACAACTGTTTTTTGATATCCACTCGCAAGTCGGCACTCTGCGACCAGTTATCCATTATGGATAACAGTGCGCGCTGTGTGTTGAGTATCGGTTCCAGATATTTAATGGTAGGCCTAACCAAATGGTTACGCTGTTGCCAGACGTCGACAGTGGCCGCAAATTTATCTTTCAGCGAATCGATTGGCGAAACGTCTTCGTGCATCAGTTCGGCCATCAGATTGTTGTACATTAGCTGAATGTCTTGCAATGTATGCAAATTGACGACAAATTCGTGTGCCCTAACATAGCCGCTAATCTCGAGTGCGGCCGCTGCCAGTGGACCGACCTGTGCCCGGCGCAGAGCCGACAGTTTCGTCTCGAAATCATTGGCCGCCGTTTCGTTCGACTGTTTCGACGACAGTAGAGCACAAAACAGATCGCCAACACCGGCACCGAATGTGGCGGCAGTAGTGGTGTCGTCGTATTCGCGACAAACGCCTGGCAACTGCGACCAGTGACCCAATTTCCAGACAGATTCGATGACATGCGGCGCCAGCTTACGGCGCCAATCGGGCCGTCGATGCGATAGCCCAGTACCGTAGGTGTAGACCATTTCCGATTGATCGAAACTGTCCATCGATATGGTTAAGTATTTTCGTTGGACATCGAAATCATTGGGATCCAGTTCGACAGCTTTGGCACAGCATACCAGCGCCTCCTGTATCTGACCCATTGATTCGTGTATAAGTATACGTTCGGTAACTGTCGGCGTACCCACACGTTTACAATTGAGACCTTCGACCGAATCGGGTTCGTCCAGATGTATATAAATACGCTGTAATAATGGTATCTCCGATTGCAATACAATTTCCGGTATATCGTTGTTTGCCGCCGATTCGATACAATATTCTTCCAGATATCTTAACGATCGGGAATAGGTTTTACATTTGAAGGCCAATACTGCCAGATCTTTCAGTACGATTTGCTGTAGAAAATGGTCGACACCTTTGAACTCTTTGTCCTTTAGTCGGGCAAACCGATGCTGTCTGGGTTGTGTACAGACTTGTTGGTGCAATCGTAGCCGCTTTTTATGCCAGTTCCTCAAGTGATCGTATATGTGGAACACTGTCTGGGCAGCCAAATGTCCCATTTCCGTACCGAACAGATAGTCATCGGCGGTTAACAATTTGACAATTGTCCTCAATTCGTTGCATATGAAATCCTTTTCGTTTGGTTTGGCATTTTTCAGGGCCGCTATTACCGCATACGGTAGCAGATATTGGGCTACTGGCCGATTGCGACACATTGTCGGAAAACAGTCGCACAAGATCTTGATTTTGATAGAATTCTGGGCCAATGCCTGACACAGTTCACTCTCGAATAGATCAGATCGTTGCGAACTGACACCCTGTGACTGTGACATTGATAAGATATCGGCCAACTGAGTGGTACCGTCGGTGTCTTTCTGGTGGGTAAATATGAATAAGTGGAACAACGTTTTCAGCCATCTGTTCAACCATTGACGGTAAGTGAGATCCGGTTGGGATCCGAATATCGGTTCGTCAGATATTTCAATGTCCATCAGTTTGCTATGAGTATAGCGTGTCTTCTTCAGTATTTCGCAATAGTGGCGCATGTCTTCGCTCAGGTCGTCCAAATTGAAACCGTCTAATACTACGTGGTCGCCACCACCACCAGCGCCGCCGCCGCCACCCGACGATTCGCCGCCACCGCTTCCGGTCAACAATTTGATAATCTCCTGAAGCGAATACGAAGCCGCGTAATGGTCGGCAGTAGTTGTGGCAGTGGTCAGCGTCCGATACAACAGTGTTATCAGATGTACTTTGAATTTATTGTCGTTCGAATTGAGAAATCGGTCGCTGTTGGCCTCACGGGTGATAATAGGTTTGTCCAAATCGCAGCGTAGCGGATCAATGGCACCCAATGTGCCAATACATTCGCCAACTAATTCGATAATTGTCGGCTGATTTGTCCGAAAACAGTCCATCAGTTTGCCGACAATCTGGCCGATAAACTCGTGGGCGGCCAACTCATCGTACGTATTATTGTTGTTGTTATTGTTGAACAACTGTTTATATAAAATCGACTGATGGCTGGTCAACAGTTTCAACAGTTGACGCAACGAAAACTCTTGGACTTTGGGATTTTCGTGATTGATATTACTGATGGCCAGCCGTAACTGTAGGTCGACATCAGTGGCATCGTTTCCGTCCATAATATAGTCGCTAATTATTTCGGAAACATCGCGCAATTCATTACATTTCGGTATGAAATACAAGTGTTTGAATGCCGACTGAAATGACGAATGAAATCTGTTTTTAAGTATCAATTCGGTAAACAATTCGGACGTCTCTGTTGGCCAGTAGTGCAATATCGGTAACATTAGTGCCGATATTGTTAACAATTGTGTACTCAAATAGTATTTGTCGGCCATTTGAACGAATTTGGTCATCAGTTCGATGCTTAACTTAATCAGCGGTTTATTCGGTAGAAAACGTTCGCTTAAAATCATCTGAATTGTCGAGAACAGCTTAACCCGATAAGTGTTGACACAATCGGGTCCCATAAACTCCATTAGTTGACTAAAACTTCGTGTGGCCATCAGTTTCTCAGTTTTCGGTACCGAATAGTCTTGCATTAGCGACTCGTATCGGTGAACAAACGGCAAAAAGTATTCGTGAAGCGCTGACCGCAAAGTGGACGGACTATTCTCGAAGCAATTCATATCGACGGTAGCCGACGATGACTCGGGGACTTTGAGTCGATAGTAATGTATGAATGCAATGGCCCGAACAACCAGTTGACGTTCAGCTGACCACCAGATCAACAATGTTTTACCGTAATCAGTGGCCGAATATTCGACACGATATTCGACATCATAGTCGGCCCGTTTCGATATCTCTTTCAATAGTTGACACGTTTGGCCGTAAGTTCGCTGATAGGCTGTCCTATCGAAAAACATTTGACGAATAACGTCCGACAAATAGATTTTCAATATATCGGTAAACGGTTTGTCTTCTAATTTGATGAATTCGCGGACAAACTTTACGGTCATATCGTTGCCTTTGGACACAAAATGGGCGACAATATGTCTCATAAATTCTTTCGGTATATAACTGATGCCAAACAGTGACATTGTTTTTGTCAGAATGTGATTCAAATCGCGAAATTCGCCGTCAATTTCAATCAGACGAATAATATGACCGGCAATCTGTTGTTGAAATTCAATCACCAACTGATCCAACGATTTGTTCTTCTCTTGACTCAAACATTTGATAGCTTTGCCGACAATATGACTGCGAAATTCATTCCTTTCGAGCGATAGATCAATAAAATTGATCAACAATTTCGATAGTCTTTCGTCATCTGCCGAATCAATGTTATAGATGACTATCCATAGTTCGCCGATAGTGGCCAAATAGGACAACAATTGGCGCCACTCTTCGGTATCCATAGCGAGGCCTCGCTGATGGCGCAATCGCCCCACCAGATTGGTGGTCATCGGTTTGGCTAAAATGGCCGCCTCTTTCAGACCGTACAGCGTTGACATCATTATCAGCATCGATGCCAACATCGACGGCACACATCTGTTGAGTATAACGTTGTCGTTGTCGCCGACATCGGCAGTGGCGGCGGAAAACCTATCGATCATCGTTTTGATCGTCAATTGAATAACATTATAGATTCGGTAATCGTCGCGAAAATCGTCGGCCAAACAGTGCCACTCGTAGCAGATGGCGATCAGTCGCCGATAGAATTCGTTCAGTTCGGTGGCCAATGACGTATGCATCGACGGCTGGTCGACAGCCGTATCGGTCAATACGCAAACATAATGATAGAAGTCGTTGATATAGAAAAAGTAGGTCTTATTGGTCAACACTCGGGCGTTAATAAACTGGATATACTGTTTGATTTTGGCCAGCGATGCGGCTTCGTAAAGATTGCGAAACATGTTTTTCATGGCCTCGCCAGTGGACAGTAGGCCCGTATCGGACGCTTAGGTGTACAGACAATCGGGTTATTCATATGATATGATATACGGTATATATATATATCAATGGCCACAATGAGAGACAGTAGTGGCTATTGTTGACATACCTGTCGGCTGATGTTGACCGTCGGCGGCGGCCGTACTGCCGCTGCTGCCATCGCCGCCGACACTGTTGTTGTTGTCCACATCCATGGGCTGTTGACGGCTGTCGGTAGCGTCGGCGCCGCACTCGGTATTGTCCGCATTGGCGTTTGTATTGTCATCATCGCCGGTAGTGGCCGTCATTGTGTCGGTCGCGGCGGCGGCGGTGACAGTGACTGTCTTGAGTTTACGCGGGAGTAGTCAACACAACAACAATTTAGTTAATAATAATAATAATAATAATAATTAAATCAATGAATAATTAAATAATTTTTAAAAAAATTTCATTTAAGTTATTGTTTTGTTTTTTTTTGTTATTATTATTATTATTATTATTATTATTATTATTATTATTATTATTACTTTATACTAATAATTATCTATTGGATTGCATTATCGTATATATACAGTACATGTACTGTAAATACATTAATAATAATATAATAATAATTACAATATTAGCGCCAATGTGTGTATACCTGTGTGTAGTGTTGTACTAATACAATATAATAATAGTGTAATTGATTTTACATTGATATTATGCACATGTTTTGTTTGTTTTGTTTTTTTTATATAATCAATACAACACTACTATTTAGTATAATAACCAGTAAACTGTATGTGAGTGTATAAACATTCAAAAAGTAGGGAAGTTCCCTACAAAATAATATAAGTTCCCTTCAATTTTCCCGGAATATATGGAAATTATATATTATTATAAATTCCCTCACTTTTAATTGTTTATTAAAGGGAAAATATATCTATAAAATTAATTAAAATTTTTTTTATTTATTTATTACAATAAATTTAAACTTAATATTTTGCAACAACAACAACAAATATATATATTTTAAAAATAATAATTTAAATTCAATAAGTTTAATAAGGATTATTTTATTACCTATAATTTTAAAAATACAATTTTATATAATATTTGTTTTTTAAAAATTATAATAAAAAGTGTGTTGCTTAGATTTTAATATGCGTGATGTGAGGAATTCCCAGTAGAGTATGGGAACTTATTGGGAACTTATTGGGAACTTTTTATTATAATTCAATAAATAATGGTGGGAATTTTTGTGAACCCTAATACCATAATAAATATACACAGTTATATTTAATTTTAAAAAAATTAAAAAAAAARTTCCCAGAAAAATTATCAATAATATTAACCAGGGATAAAATATTATTTTATTCTATAAATTATAATAATAATAATAATAAAAATAATTATTATTATTATTAATAGTTACTATAAAATTAAAAATTTACTAAACAATATATATTTATTTATTAAACAATTAGTTGCAAAAAAATATAAAGTAAAATATTCATTAATTTTTAGTTTTTTTTAGTAGTTATTTTTAACGAAAATTTTATTTATAAAATAATAATTTACTTTTTTAATATTAAAAGAAAAATTATTTAAAACAATTTACTTTATATTATAAAATTAGATAAAATAATATTAAATATCATTAATAGGTTTAATAATACTAATAAAATATGATATCATTTTTATAATTTAAGTTAAGAAATACATTTAGTTTATTAATAATTTTTTTAAAATTGTAATTTAAAACTTAATTGCTTTAATAGAAAAATTAAGTTTTAGTAATGATTTTAGTTTATTATTATTATTATTATTATTATTATTATTATTATTTTATGTAATGAATAGTTATAAATACAAAATTAAATTTCTAAATAAAAATATGTTTATTAGTTATAATTATTTGGTTTCATTAGCTTTTATATTGACTACCGATGTTGTTGTTGGCCTAGAAATCGGTGATTACCCGAACATAACGGACACCAATCAGTGTGGTATCGGTCGTCAGTCGCATCTGTTGAACGACCAGTGCTTTGAATGGCATAAAAGTAATGATTTGATGTCCAATGTTGTCAACGGCAGGGATGTCCAGCCGGGAGAGTATCCATACGTTGTCTACATTGAGATTTGGGTCAGACTATCGAAATGGGGCGGAATTGATAGTCAAAAGTAAATAGTTTTTTGTGTGGTTATATAAAAATTAAATCATATATATATATATACATATAATTATATATATATATGTCTATCTATTTAATAAAGTAGTGCGTGTACGGGATCTATACTCAACCAGCACTGGATACTATCGGCCCATTGTTACAGTAATCTCGCGGGTATTGACTACTATAAGGTATTCGCGGGAACTATAGATAAGTCAAAACTGGGAACAGATTATGGAGTCGAAGAAGTCATTCTACACCCGAAGTTCGAGAGAACTCCTCGTAATCCCTATGATGTGGCGCTCATACGTGTGAAGACACCAATGGTTTTCAATGATGGAGATAATGGTTACGCCTATCGACAGTTAAACAGTATTTGTTTGCCGCCTATCGATCATATGGTCACTGAATATGAGTTGGCATTAATTGTAGGTTTCGGTCGTATCAATGATACGTATGTTAATACAGATAGACTTCAAACTGGTTTGGTTAGGATATCAGCTCAAAACCTAACCGATCCAAACATTATTAATGCCTATCAATATCCATATCCCGGTGGAGCACATCTTTGTTTTGTAATAAATATATATATATTAATCAAAAACTAATTACAGTATTAATAGATTATAAAATATTGTAATCATTTTTTTTGCAAACAATAGGGCGATTCCGGTGGTCCACTACTACAGTATGTCAACGGTAGGGCTGTCCTAATAGGAGTCAGTATTTGGGGAGACACTGGCGAAAACATCTGTAGTCCCAATCATCGGGTTTGGACAGCATTTGTCAAAGTGTCGGCAGTTTTGGATTGGATTATCGAAAACATATCGAAATAAAGTTTATTAATAATAATAATAATTATTATTAGTTTAGTTTAATTTTGTATTAGAAAACAAAACCTATAATTAATTAATTGTTAGTATAATATAATAGATAAATAATTTAAATAAATTAAAATTAAAATAGTTAAAAAAGTTTTTTTTTTGATATTAAAACATTTTGTATTTGTATATAATAATAATAAATAGTAATTGTGTGTATGTTTTTTTTTACAATTAATGATAAAAAAAAAATTTTATTTTACATTATTTACTTAATAATAAAAACATATAAATTAAAAAATAGTTTACTTAAAACTTTTTTTATTATTTAAAAAAGTATTAATAAAAGTTAATGAAAAATATTAGAAATTAGTAGACTTTCTTTTTATAAATTTTATTTTCAATATTATTATTATTTTTATACAAAAAATTTAAATTAACAAATATAGTAATAATCTATAATAGTTTGCATAGATATATAAAATACTTTTATTTAAAAAAAACAAATTGAACACAAAAAATGCATAAAAACAAAAAAAAATATTTTGAAAAAAAATCTAATTTACCTACTATTTTACATTAAATTAAAGTTTTATTTGATATTTTTTTTCTACACATGTGACTATGTTTTAAAATATTTGACTAAAAAAACTTATACCCATAAAAATTAGTTTTCAATCAATTGTTTTTTTTAAAAAAAATATTTATTCACTAATAAATATTAAGGTATATATGAAATAAATTCACTTATTATATTAATATAAATCAATTTTATATTATTTATTATTTTTATTTTTTGATTACGTATAATTTTTTATTAAAACAAATTAGATTATAATTTTAAAATATTTAAAATAATAGTTATTATTATTAATAGAAATATTTTAAAATTTAAGCAAAATTTATTGTATATTAGAAAATGTTATTTTTTTAATAAATATTATATTATGTTTAATAATTGAATTTACTAAACAATTATTTTGGTGCATAATTATCCTATAATTATTATTAAATAATTAATTGCAAAAAAAATTTAAAATAAATATTCATTAATTTTTTTTATTATAAAATAGTTTTTTAACGCAAATTTTATTTAGAAAATAATAATTTACTTTCTAATGTAAAAAATAAAAATTATTTAAAACAATTTACTTTATATTTTATTATAAAATTAGATAAAATAATATTAAATATCATTAATAGGTTTAATAATACTAATAAAATATGATCATTTAATAATTTAAGTTAAGAAATACATTTAGTTTATTAATAATTTTTTTTAAATTGTAATTTAAAACTTAATTGTTTTAATAGAAAAATTAAGTTTTAGTAATGATTTTAGTTTATAATTATTATTATTAATAATATTTTATGTAATGAATTGTTATAAATACAAAATTAAATATATAAACAAAAAAATGTTTATTAGTTATAATTATAATTATTTGGTTTCATTAGCTTTTATATTGACTACCGATGTTGTTGTTGTTGGCCTAGAAATCGGTGATTACCCGAACATAACGGACACCAATCAGTGCGGTATCGGTCGTCAGTCGCATCTGTTGAACGACCAGTGCTTTGAATGGCATAAAAGTAATGATTTGATGTCCAATGTTGTCAACGGCAGGGATGTCCAGCCGGGAGAGTATCCATACGTTGTCTACATTGAGATTTGGGTCAGACTATCGAAATGGGGCGGAACTGATGGTCAAAAGTAAATAGTTTTTTTGTGTGGTTATATAAAAATTAAATCATCAATTTTTTTATATATATATCAATATATGACTATCTATTTAATAAAGTAGTGAGTGTACGGGATCTATACTCAACCAGCACTGGATACTATCGGCGGCCCATTGTTACAGTAATCTCGCGGGTATTGAGTACTATAAGGTATTCGCGGGAACTATAGATAAGTCAAAACTGGGAACAGATTATGGAGTCGAAGAAGTCATTCTACACCCGAAGTTCGAGAGAACTCCTCGTAATCCCTATGATGTGGCGCTCATACGTGTGAAGACACCAATGGTTTTCAATGTTGGAGATAATGGTTACGCCTATCGGCAGTTAAACAGTATTTGTTTGCCGCCTATCGATCATATGGTCACTGAATATGAGTTGGCATTAATTGTGGGTTTCGGTCGTATCAATGATACGTATGTCTCTACAAATAAGCTTCAAACTGGTTTGGTTAGGATATCAGCTCAAAACCTAACCGATCCAAACATTATTAATGCCTATCAATATCCATATCCCGGTGGAGCACATATTTGTTTTGTAATAAATATATATATAATTCAAAAACTAATTACAGTATTAATAGATTATAAAATATTGTAATCATTTTTTTTGCAAACAATAGGGCGATTCCGGTGGTCCACTACTACAGTATGTCAACGGTAGGGCTGTCCTAATAGGAGTCAGTATTTGGGGAGACATTGGCGAAAACATCTGTAGTCCCAATCATCGGGTTTGGACAGCATTTGTCAAAGTGTCGGCAGTTTTGGATTGGATTATCGAAAACATATCGAAATAAAGTTTATTAATAATAATAATAATTATTATTAGTTTAGTTTAATTTTGTATTAGAAAACAAAACCTATAATTAATTAATTGTTAGTATAATATAATAGATAAATAATTTAAATAAATTAAAATTAAAATAGTTAAAAAAGTTTTTTTTTTGATATTAAAACATTTTGTATTTGTATATAATAATAATAAATAGTAATTGTGTGTATGTTTTTTATACAATTAATGATAAAAAAAATTTTTATTTCACATTATTTACTTAATAATAAAAACATATAAATTAAAAAATAGTTTACTTAAAACTTTTTTTATTATTTAAAAAAGTATTAATAAAAGTTAATGAAAAATATTAGAAATTAGTAGACTTTCTTTTTATAAATTTTATTTTCAATATTATTATTATTTTTATACAAAAAATTTAAATTAACAAATATAGTAATAATCTATAATAGTTTGCATAGATATATAAAATACTTTTATTTAAAAAAAACAAATTGAACACAAAAAATGCATAAAAACAAAAAAAATATTTTGAAAAAAAAATCTAATTTACCTACTATTTTACATTAAATTAAAGTTTTATTTGATATTTTTTTTCTACACATGTGACTATGTTTTAAAATATTTGACTAAAAAAACTTATACCCATAAAAATTAGTTTTCAATCAATTGTTTTTTTTTAAAAAATATTTATTCACTAATAAATATTAAGGTATATATGAAATAAATTCACTTATTATATTAATATAAATCAATTTTATATTATTTATTATTTTTATTTTTTGATTACGTATAATTTTTTATTAAAACAAATTAGATTATAATTTTAAAATATTTAAAATAATAGTTATTATTATTAATAGAAATATTTTAAAATTTAAGCAAAATTTATTGTATATTAGAAAATGTTATTTTTTTAATAAATATTATATTATGTTTAATAATTGAATTTACTAAACAATTATTTTGGTGCATAATTATCCTATAATTATTATTAAATAATTAATTGCAAAAAAAATTTAAAATAAATATTCATTAATTTTTTTTATTATAAAATAGTTTTTTAACGCAAATTTTATTTAGAAAATAATAATTTACTTTCTAATGTAAAAAATAAAAATTATTTAAAACAATTTACTTTATATTTTATTATAAAATTAGATAAAATAATATTAAATATCATTAATATGTTTAATAATAATACTAATAAAATATGATATCATGTTATTATTTAAGTTAAGAAATACATTTATTTTATATATTAATAATATTTTTTTAATTGTAATTTAAAACTTAATTGTTTTAATAGAATAATTAAATTTTAGTAATGATTTTAGTTTATTATTATTATTAATATTAATATTTTATGCAATGAATACTTATATATACAAAATTAAATTTATAAACAAAAATATGTTTATTAGTTATTATTATTATTTGGTTTCATTAGCTTTTATAATGACTACCGATGTTGTTGTTGTCGTTGTTGGCCTAGAAATCGGTGATTACCCGAACATAACGGACACCAATCAGTGCGGTATCGGTCGTCAGTCGCATCTGTTGAACGACCAGTGCTTTGAATGGCATAAAAGTAATGATTTGATGTCCAATGTTGTCAACGGCAGGGATGTCCAGCCGGGAGAGTATCCATACGTTGTCTACATTGAGATTTGGGTCAGACTATCGAAATGGGGCGGAACTGATGGTCAAAAGTAAATAGTTTTTTTGTGTGGTTATATAAAAATTAAATCATCAATTTTTTTATATATATATCAATATATGACTATCTATTTAATAAAGTAGTGAGTGTACGGGATCTATACTCAACCAGCACTGGATACTATCGGCGGCCCATTGTTACAGTAATCTCGCGGGTATTGACTACTATAAGGTATTCGCGGGAACTATAGATAAGTCAAAACTGGGAACAGATTATGGAGTCGAAGAAGTCATTCTACACCCGAAGTTCGAGAGAACTCCTCGTAATCCCTATGATGTGGCGCTCATACGTGTGAAGACACCAATGGTTTTCAATGTTGGAGATAATGGTTACGCCTATCGACAGTTAAACAGTATCTGTTTGCCGCCTATCGATCATATGGTCACTGAATATGAGTTGGCATTAATTGTAGGTTTCGGTCGTATCAATGATACGTATGTCTCTACAAATAGGCTTCAAACTGGATTGGTTAGGATATCAACTCAAAACCTAACCGATCCAAACATTATTAATGCCTATCAATATCCATATCCCGGTGGAGCACATATTTGTTTTGTAATAAATATATATATAATTCAAAAAATAATTACAGTATTAATAGATTATAAAATATTGTAATCATTTTTTTTTTGCAAACAATAGGGCGATTCCGGTGGTCCACTACTACAGTATGTCAACGGTAGGGCTGTCCTAATAGGAGTCAGTATTTGGGGAGACATTGGCGAAAACATCTGTAGTCCCAATCATCGGGTTTGGACAGCATTTGTCAAAGTGTCGGCAGTTTTGGATTGGATTATCGAAAACATATCGAAATAAAGTTTATTAATAATAATAATAATTATTATTAGTTTAGTTTAATTTTGTATTAGAAAACAAAACCTATAATTAATTAATTGTTAGTATAATATAATAGATAAATAATTTAAATAAATTAAAATTAAAATAGTTAAAAAAGTTTTTTTTTTGATATTAAAACATTTTGTATTTGTATATAATAATAATAAATAGTAATTGTGTGTATGTTTTTTATACAATTAATGATAAAAAAAAATTTTATTTCACATTATTTACTTAATAATAAAAACATATAAATTAAAAAATAGTTTACTTAAAACTTTTTTTATTATTTAAAAAAGTATTAATAAAAGTTAATGAAAAATATTAGAAATTAGTAGACTTTCTTTTTATAAATTTTATTTTCAATATTATTATTATTTTTATACAAAAAATTTAAATTAACAAATATAGTAATAATCTATAATATTTTGCATAGATATATAAAATACTTTTATTTAAAAAAAACAAATTGAACACAAAAAATGCATAAAAACAAAAAAAATATTTTGAAAAAAAAATCTAATTTACCTACTATTTTACATTAAATTAAAGTTTTATTTGATATTTTTTTCTACACATGTGACTATGTTTTAAAATATTTGACTAAAAAAACTTATACCCATAAAAATTAGTTTTCAATCAATTGTTTTTTTTTAAAAAATATTTATTCACTAATAAATATTAAGGTATATATGAAATAAATTCACTTATTATATTAATATAAATCAATTTTATATTATTTATTATTTTTATTTTTTGATTACGTATAATTTTTTATTAAAACAAATTAGATTATAATTTTAAAATATTTAAAATAATAGTAATTATTATTAATAGAAATATTTTAAAATTTAAGCAAAATTTATTGTATATTAGAAAATGTTATTTTTTTAATAAATATTATATTATGTTTAATAATTAAATTTACTAAACAATTATTTTGGTGCATAATTATCCTATAATTATTATTAAATAATTAATTGCAAAAAAAAATTTAAAATAAATATTCATTAATTTTTTTTATTATAAAATAGTTTTTAACGCAAATTTTATTTAGAAAATAATAATTTACTTTCTAATGTAAAAAATAAAAATTATTTAAAACAATTTACTTTATATTTTATTATAAAATTAGATAAAATAATATTAAATATCATTAATATGTTTAATAATAATACTAATAAAATATGATATCATGTTATTATTTAAGTTAAGAAATACATTTATTTTATATATTAATAATATTTTTTTTATTGTAATTTAAAACTTAATTGTTTTAATAGAATAATTAAATTTTAGTAATGATTTTAGTTTATTATTATTATTAATATTAATATTTTATGCAATGAATACTTATATATACAAAATTAAATTTATAAACAAAAATATGTTTATTAGTTATTATTATTATTTGGTTTCATTAGCTTTTATAATGACTACCGATGTTGTTGTTGTCGTTGTTGGCCTAGAAATCGGTGATTACCCGAACATAACGGACACCAATCAGTGCGGTATCGGTCGTCAGTCGCATCTGTTGAACGACCAGTGCTTTGAATGGCATAAAAGTAATGATTTGATGTCCAATGTTGTCAACGGCAGGGATGTCCAGCCGGGAGAGTATCCATACGTTGTCTACATTGAGATTTGGGTCAGACTATCGAAATGGGGCGGAACTGATGGTCAAAAGTAAATAGTTTTTTTGTGTGGTTATATAAAAATTAAATCATATATATATATGACTATCTATTTAATAAAGTGGTGGGTGTACGGGATCTATACTCAACCAGCACTGGATACTATCGGCGGCCCATTGTTACAGTAATCTCGCGGGTATTGAGTACTATAAGGTATTCGCGGGAACTATAGATAAGTCAAAACTGGGAACAGATTATGGAGTCGAAGAAGTCATTCTACACCCGAAGTTCGAGAGAACTCCTCGTAATCCCTATGATGTGGCGCTCATACGTGTGAAGACACCAATGGTTTTCAATGTTGGAGATAATGGTTACGCCTATCGGCAGTTAAACAGTATTTGTTTGCCGCCTATCGATCATATGGTCACTGAATATGAGTTGGCATTAATTGTAGGTTTCGGTCGTATCAATGATACGTATGTCAATACAGATAGACTTCAAACTGGTTTGGTTAGGATATCAGCTCAAAACCTAACCGATCCAAACATTATTAATACCTATCAATATCCATATCCCGGTGGAGCACATCTTTGTTTTGTAATAAATATATATATATTAATCAAAAACTAATTACAGTATTAATAGATTATAAAATATTGTAATCATTTTTTTTGCAAACAATAGGGCGATTCCGGTGGTCCACTACTACAGTATGTCAACGGTAGGGCTGTCCTAATAGGTGTTAATATATGGGCCTACACTGGCAATGATATCTGTAGTCCCAATCATAGGGTTTGGATGGCATTTGTCAAAGTGTCGGCAGTTTTGGATTGGATTATCGAAAACATATCGAAATAAAGTTTATTAATAATAATAATAATTATTATTAGTTTAGTTTAATTTTGTATTAGAAAACAAAACCTATAATTAATTAATTGTTAGTATAATATAATAGATAAATAATTTAAATAAATTAAAATTAAAATAGTTAAAAAAGTTTTTTTTTTTGATATTAAAACATTTTGTATTTGTATATAATAATAATAAATAGTAATTGTGTGTATGTTTTTTACAATTAATGATAAAAAAAAAATTTTATTTCACATTATTTACTTAATAATAAAAAAACATATGAATTAAAAATTAGTTAACTAAAAACTTTTTTTTATTTAAAAAAGTATTACTAAAAGTTAGTGAAAAATATTTTTATACAAAAACAAATTAAATTAACAAATATAGTAATAATCTATAATATTTTGCATAGATATATAAAATACTTTTATTTAAAAAAAAAACAAATTGAACACAAAAAATGCATAAAAACAAAAAAAAATATTTTGAAAAAAAAATAATTTATCTATTATTTTACATTATATTAAAGTTATATTTTAAAATATTTTGTTATTTTTTATGGGACTAAAAAAATTATTTTCATAAAAATTATATTATGTTTAATAATCAAATTTACTAAACAATTGTTTTGGTGCTTAATTATTCTATATTTATTATTAAATAATAAATTGCAAAAAAATTTTAAAGTAAAATATTTATTATTATTATTTTATTTCACATCATTTACTTACTAATAAAAACATATAAATTAAAGATTAGTAGATTTTATTTTCATTATTATAATTATTTTTATACAAAAACAAATATAGTAATAATCTATAATATTTTGCATAGATATAATGTATATTAATATAAATCATTTTTAGTTTATTTATTAATTTTTTGGATTACATATATTTTTTATTAAAACAAATTAGATATTTTATAGTTTTAAAATATTTTAAAATTTAAACAAAATTTATTGTATAGTAGAAAATGTTTTTTAAAAATAAATATTATATGATGTTTAATAATTAAAATTATGTTATAAAAAATTATCACGTTTAATAGTTATTTATTTAAGCTATATTTAAAAAGATGTTATATTTTAAAAAAATAAGTTATTGAAAAACAATTACTGAATGTAAAAATAATTTTAGTATGTTTTACGTTTTGGCTTACAATTAGAAAAAAAATAATTTCTATAAAATTGTTTTAAATATATTTTTGATTTTATTGAATAATATATATATTAGTCTTATAGTTATTTAAAAAAACAATAATTATCTTTACTATAATATATTAACTAAAAACACTGTAAATATGTGCAAACAATTAACAATATATTGTATAATAATTTATTTTATTATTGCAATATTTAATACATCAAATCAAGTAAGTATTTTATAATAATATAAATTTAATTATATATAAATTTTTAGAAAAAATTATAAACTAAAAATAATTAAATAATATATATTTATTTACTATTTACAGTTTGTATTTAATAAATAGATAATATAAATAAATAATTTATATTATTAGATTTTATAATAGACAATTATTCATTAATATGATTAATTTAAACTAATATTTTGTTTAAACTTTATAAATTATTTTAATATATTTTATTTATTTATACAAAATTAATAATAATAACAAAAAAATGTTTATAAACTTATATAATTAAAGTTTTATATTAATATATAACGCTTTTAACATTAAAAAAGTATTATATCCATATAGATCTCTTAATCTCTTAAAATAAATATTTAATTTGTTTAATTTATAATTATAACTATACAGTATTAATATATACAGCTTTTATTAAAATTTAATTTTCATATATTTATAAAATATATTGATTTATATACATATATATATTCAATATATATAATGTATATGCATATTATTATATATTGTATATATATATATGAAAATTAAATTTTAATAAAAGTAATTAATAAATTAATAATAGTATTAATAAAAATAATTATATATATGTATAAAATATGTATGATATATACATATCAATATAATGTATATATATACAAATTACATAAATTTATATATGTGATAATAAATTAAATATAGTAATAAATAGTATAACTATTATTAAATTAATAAAAGAAAAACAAAAAAATTGATTATTAATACTTTATTATTTATATTAGATTTTATATTAATTTGTTATTAATATTTTTTTTTTTTWAAATAAAAAATATTAGAAAACATTATTACCAATTGACACAATAACTGTTTCATCGCTGAGTCGGGCGGCAAATATCGGTGAATACTATGACGCCCGTAACGACCAGTTTCGGAAAATTAATTTATTTAAAAGATCCATACCGTCCAATGCCATCATAAGCACCGATACGCCCGACAATAGTCTTGAATTGAGTTATTCGGATACGTTTCGGGAAAAATTTAACAAAATGGACATTGGAGCTTCGCTAAAAATGAGCATGCTTGTCGGTATGATTAATATTGAATTATCTGGATCAGCCCATTTTCTATCCGAAACAAAATCAAGCTATCGGTAAGCTATATGTCTAATTATAACAGATTATCCATTACTATCATATATAAGTTATATACTGTATATATACTATACTGTTATTATGAAAAATATATATTTATATAACAATTTTATTAATGATAGAAAAATATAATATAACAATCATAACAAACATATAATATAAATACTTATATTATTATTATTAAACATTTTGCGCCCCAAATGAGTCTTTTCCTACAAAAAACAATTATCCGATGATTTTTCCGTTTATTTTTTTGTCTGTTTGTTTGGTATTAAATATATATTAAATATATATTAATCCATTACATAGTATTACCTAATTTTAATAATAGTATTATTATTACTGTATTTTTGTATTAATTTAAAAAAAGTCTATGAATTAACAATAATCCGTTTATATTATTTATTAACAATTAAATTGATTAATTTTACGGCAACCAAAAAAATTGTTTTAATTAATTTTTTTTTTTTAATTGATGTATAATATCATTAACACTAAACAACTGAAACATATGATTATTGTTTTGTTTGTTTGTTTGTGTGACCAATAAATTAATTTTATTTTCTAAAGCAAACAAAATAAATGTATTATTTTTACAGATGTCTTAATACAAACAACAACAACAAGTTATACGGGATTTATAACATTGTGTTTCAAGTGTATGTGTATGTGTATGTGTATGTGTATGTGTATATGTATGTGTATGTGTATGTGTATGTGTATGTGTATGTGTATGTGTATGTGTATGTGTATGTGTATGTGTATGTGTATGTGTATGTGTATGTGTATGTGTATGTGTATGTGTATGTGTATGTGTATGTGTATGTGTATGTGTATGTGTATGTGTATGTGTATGTGTATGTGTATGTGTATGTGTATGTGTATGTGTATGTGTATGTGTATGTGTATGTGTATGTGTATGTGTATGTGTATGTGTATGTGTATGTGTATGTGTATGTGTATGTGTATGTGTATGTGTATGTGTATGTGTATGTGTATGTGTATGTGTATGTGTATGTGTATGTGTATGTGTATGTGTATGTGTATGTGTATGTGTATGTGTATGTGTATGTGTATGTGTATGTGTATGTGTATGTGTATGTGTATGTGTATGTGTATGTGTATGTGTATGTGTATGTGTATGTGTATGTGTATGTGTATGTGTATGTGTATGTGTATGTGTATGTGTATGTGTATGTGTATGTGTATGTGTATGTGTATGTGTATGTGTATGTGTATGTGTATGTGTATGTGTATGTGTATGTGTATGTGTATGTGTATGTGTATGTGTATGTGTATGTGTATGTGTATGTGTATGTGTTTTATTTTTAAATTACATTATAAAATAATAGACATTTATCTAATAAGTTATTTAGAAATAAATTTGTATATATTTTTTGTTGAATTTGATTACATTATATTTATTGTATCATATTTTAGCAAATATTAAGTTTTATACGGTATACTCAATATAATTATATTAACATTATTATGCATTTATTTTTTAATTATTTGTTATCAAAACATTTATCATGCTCAAATAAACAATTACTAATTAATATTTTTATTGCTTATTATAAATTAAAATTTATTATAAATTGACTATTATCTTAGATTTGTTAAAAATGTTTCAATAAAATAAAAACCAAAACAATAGCTGACGCACCATAAGCATATAGATTACACTTAATATATAGATACAAAAAAAACACAATATATTTTTATAAACTCCGCCCCTAAAGATTATATTTATAATATTGCGCGCATATATATATAGACAACTATATTATAGCTTCTATATTATCATTGCGAGGCGATTATTATTGTTTTGGTTTTGCTTATACTGAAAGTTTATTATGTGTAAAATGTTATATTATTATATTTATTTTTTAATTAAATATATCAAGTAATTTTTTGTATTATAAAACTTTTGTTATTTAATTTATAAATAAACTACGTAGGTCATTTTTTTAAAAAAAAAATATGCTTTTATGTTAACTTAAGGGAATATGAAAAAATATTCAAAAATTAGTTTTACTTTAGGATTTCGATATAAGGAGGAAGGGGGGCAAAATGATTCACAAAAAAATTGTAAAATATAATTGTATAGAATCTATAAAATTTTACGAATTTATTGTAATTTTAAATACCCTCCCCTTTAAATCTAAAACCTAAAATAAAACTAATTTTTGAATATTTTTTTAAAAAAAATAAATATTTTATTATAGCTGTGCAAAGGTATCGCTAATTCAAAAAATGAAAACAAAAGAAGAATCGATTAACTGTAACGACGAATCGCTAAAACCATTAATTGATTTGAAATTATTGTCGGAAATAGATGCCACACATGTTGTCGTCGGCAGAATATTTGGCGGTAAAGTAATTGTTTCGGTCATAAATAAAAACGAAGAAAATAAAGACGTCCATGAATTAGAGGGTAGTCTTGCAGCTGCTATTAAACTAAATTTTGTTGAAATTTCTGGTGGTATTAATGGTACATTGGTAAATAAGAATATAACAAAATTAAATACTTATGATTTTAAAATTATTGGCGACATTATTCCCGATGTTATGCCCATAACAGTAGCCGAAGCACTCAACTATACAAGAAATGTACCAAAACTATTGAAATCAAGTAATAAGGGTTCGGGTAAAATAGTTGATTACCATTTAATGCCCATTAATGTACTGAGAGAAATATATTCAATAGATATCAAGCAAAATGCATTAATTCATGAAATTAGCGATAATTTAGTTAATCAATGTGTTGACTATTTTGATGATATGTTAGAAATTGAAAACAAATTAAATGATATTAGAAATATTATGCAACAAAATGAATCGTTTATCAATGATAGCGTTTTTAGTGAATTAGATAGTTTACGTAATAATTTTAGTAATTATAAATTAAATCAAACAAATTATTTGCAAACTTTATTAATGAAAATTAGAGCCGGAAACGAAAGTACCGATAAATTAGCAAATGTTTTATTAAATCCCAACAATAGTTATTATACTAAACATGAAATGAATATTAAAATGAATTATTATTATGAATTAATTAACCAATTGTTTACAGTCAGTGATGCAAAAGTTATCAACTCTAATTGTATATTTAATAAACATTTTAGATTAATAAACAAACTATACAACAATTTAGATATTAGATTATATATTATGTTCTATAAATGGCATAATACTGATGCTAAAAGTCAACATAGAAACAGAAAAGCAATTCATGAATTTAAACAATTAATTGATAAAAATAAATTTCAACAACAAAATGATAATTCAATATACTGTACTTATAATTATGAAATCATTAATAATCAAGATAAAACATTAGCTAATATAAGTAATGAAAACAATTTACCACAAATTAGTTATTTTAAAAGTGGAGAACTAATTGAACAAAATGTTTTACCAATCAATGATTTTACAACATTTATATTAATTTGCGGAGATAGTTTTTCCAGCGAACTTAATGAAATTTGTAAAAAATACAATTATATTGAAAATATTTGGTCCGATGCTAATGGCTTATATTATAGCCGAACTGGTTATAAATTAATACAATTTTATAATAAAATCTATGCTATTGGCGGAGCTAATGGATATAATCATAATGTAAGTATTATTTAACAAATTATAATATATTCAATATTAATAATTTAATTTTTTTATCAAACAGTTTTACTGTTTAAATTTCATTGAAATTTACGATCCGTTTAGTAAGTCATGGTCGGAAATATCTTTATCAATTAAACCAAGATGGTATGTATTAGCTAATATAAATTATCTATTAATTATTTTTAACTTTATAATCATTTTAAAAAAAAAAATATTTATATATAAATTCATACAATTTTATAACATAAAATATCTTTAAATTTTAGCGCACATGCCTTAATTGTCCATAAAAATAAATTATATACGTGTGGCGGCTTTAATATTAATGAATATTACAAATCATGCGAAATTTACGATATCAATAAAAATGAATGGACAGAAATTGCATCAATGTCAATTATTAGATATCATTTTAATCTAGTTTCATTAGATGATTACATTTATGCACTAGGTACTAAAGAATATATCGATGGCGGCGACATTGATAGACCCATTGAACGATATGATCCAATTAAAAATGAATGGTCTACTATTGGCAACATAACTATTGATAGGTATTTTTTGTGTTAATGTTTTTATTTTTATATTGTTTAAATCATAATTAATATATATTATATAATAGAGACGATATTTGTGCTATCTCGTTTATGAATTTAATATACACGTGCGGTGCTGGACATGGATTTGGTACCAAATGCTGGAAATATGATCCCAATAACAATAATTGGATTGAAATTGGTTAGAATTATTATTATTATTATTATTAACATTGATATATTTCAATTAAATAAACAAAAAATTATTATTTTTTATTGTATAGCATAAGCTCAAAACTAGATTAAAATAATAAAATTTTTTTATTATTTTTAATTATTAAGCAATTATTATATAAAAAAAATATTAATTATTTAAAATTAGCATCGACTAATAAATCAAGAGATGAATGTCAATTAGTTGTTTATCATGATAAATTATTTATATTCAGCAAACATGTTGAGCAAGGTAAATTAATTTTTTAATAAAATACCTAAATATAAATTTATAATAATTTTTTTGTTAATTTAGGTGACTTAACATTTGAAATCTACGACCATTTTTCAGACACATGGGTTAATGAGACACTAATACCAGAATTGGCAAATGTATACGGGGTAACTTATTATTTAAAATATATAAATTTTATTTTTATTAAAAAAATAAATCATTATATTAATTTTATGAATTAATTAATTTTTATTAAAAAAATATTTTAGGTAACAGCTTTTACTTCAGTATAACTATTATTAATGATATTTTATATATATATATATATATATATATATATTATTTATATAATTRTATATCTATTTAATTAATTATTTTATACACATTATTCATAAGATATATAAATTACATTCAGATAGTAGTAACAAAAAAAATAATTGTTTTAGCTTTGTTTTTATTAGTTAATTAAATGTACAAAATAAATGAATACAATATATATATATATATATATATATATATATATATATATATATATATATATATATATATATTGTATTCATTTATTTTTAATATCAATGTAATTTTAATTATGTTAAAAAAAATTTATTGCTTATTAATAGCAAATACTTTATAAATTATATAAATATAAAACTAATTAATATTATTGTCAAAATAATTTCTATATTATAAATATAATTTTATTAAATTATATTATTTATTTAATTGCATAAACAATAAAAAAAAACTTGTATAAACATTATTCAAAATTTTAGTAATAAATCTAACAATAGTTGATTACAGTATCTTTACAGTTGTTTCCTATATTTCTAAATAAAAATGTTTATTAGTTATAATATTTATTATTATTTGGTTTCATTATCATTTGTATTGACTACCGATGTTGTCGTTGTTGGCCTAGAAATCGGTGATTACCCGAACATAACGAACACCAATGAGTGTGGTATCGGTCGTCAGTCTTATCTGATGAACGATCGGTGCTTTAGATTTCATACGAGTCGTGATTTGATGTCCAAAGCTGTTGTCAACGGCAGGGATGTCCAGCCGGGAGAGTATACATACGTTGTCTACATTGAGATTTGGTCCAAACTATCGGAATGGGACGGAAGTGATAAGTTTGGGTATGTTTTTTATTTTGTAATCTATTAATACTGTATTTTTGATTTATATATATTTATTACATAACAAGTATGGGCTCCACCGGGATATGGATATTGATAGGCATTAATAATGTTTGGATCGGTTAGGTTTTGAGCTGATATCCTGATATTATTATTAGTGTTACTGTATTATTATAATAAGTTTATATACAGTATATCAATGAATAAAAAATATTTATATTTATTTATTGTTAAAAACTTTAATTTTGATTTTTTTAAATTGTTATAATAAACATTGTATTGTGTGATGACCTTAAAATAATTTTATATATTTATATCGGTATCCAATGACGTTTGCATCGACGGCTGGTCGACAGCAATCGTCGGCCGGCTGGTCGGTCAATACGCAAACATAATGATAGAAGTCGTTGATATAGAAAAAGTAGGTCTTATTGGTCAACACTCGGGCGTTAATAAACTGTATATACTGTTTGATTTTGGCCAACGATACGGCTTCGTAAAGGTTGCGAAACATGTTTTTCATGGCCTCGCCAGTGGACAGTAGGCCCGTATCGGACGCTTAGGTGTACAGACAATCGGGTTATTCATATGATATGATATACGGTATATATATATATCAATGGCCACAATGAGAGACAGTAGTGGCCAGTTGACGTACCTGTAGGCTGATGTTGACCGTCGGCGGCGGCCGTACTGCCGCTGCTGCCATCGCCGCCGACACTGTTGTTGTTGTCCACATCCATGGGCTGTTGGTGGCTGTCGGTAGCGTCGGCGCCGCACTCGGTATTGTCCGCATTGGCGTTTGTATTGTCATCATCGCCGGTAGTGGCCGTCATTGTGTCGGTCGCGGCGGCGGCGGCGACGGTGACTGTCTTGAGTTTACGCGGGAGTAGTCAACACAACAACAACACAAAACTATTTAGTTAATAATAATAATAATAATTAAATCAATGAATAATTAAATCAATGAATAATTAAATAATTTTTTTTTATTTCATTGCAGTTATTGTTTTGTTTTTTTGTTGTTATTATTATTATTATTATTATTATTAATATTACTTTATACTACTAATTGTCTATTGGATTGCATTATATCGTATATATACAGTACATGTACTGTAAATACATTAATAATAATAATAATAATAATAATAATAATAATAATAATAAACAATTACAATATTAGCGCCAATGTGTGTGTATGTAGTGTTGTACTAATATTATACAGTATTATACTGTAGTGTTTAATTGATGTGCATTTATATACACATGTTTTGTTTTATATATAAATACAACACTAGTATTTTATAATAACCAGTGATTGTGTGTGTGTGTGTGTGTGTAAACATTCAAATAGTAGGGAAGTTCCCTACAAAAAAAATAAGTTCCCTTCAATTTTCCCGGAATATATGGAAATTATATATTATTATAAATTCCCTCCCTTTTAATCGTTTATTAAAGGGAAAATATATCTATAAAATTAATATATTTTTTTTTATTTATTACAATAAATTTAAACTTAATATTTTGCAACAACAACATCAAATATTTTTTTTAATAATAATTTAAATTCAATAAGTTTAATAAGGATTATTTATTACCTATAACTTAAAAATATAATTTTATATAATATTTGTTTTTTTAAATTATAATAAAAAGTGTTTTGCTTAAATTTTAATAGGTRTAATGTGAGGAATTCCCAGTAAAGTATGGAACTAATTGGGAACTTTTTATTATAATTCAATAAATAATGGTGGAATTTTCCTGAACCCTAATACCATAATATATATATACAGTTAAAGAGTGCCCCTTTAAAAAAAATAAAAAATAATAAAAAAAAATTCCCAGAAAAATTATCAATAATATTAACCAGGGATAAAATATAATTTTATTCTATAAATAATAATAATAATTATAATAATTAATTATAATAATAATAATAATAGTTACTATAAAATTAAAAATTTACTAAACAATATATATTTATTATTTAAACAATTAATTGCAAAAAAATATAAATTAAAATATTCATAAATTTTTAGTTTTTTTAGTAGTTTTTTTAACGAAAATTTTATTTATAAAATAATAATTTACTTTATTAATATTAAAAAAAATAAAAATTATTTAAAACAGTTTACTTTATATTATAAAATTAGATAAAATAATATTAAATATCATTAATAGGTTTAATAATACTAATAAAATATGATATCATTTAATAATTTAAGTTAAGAAATACATTTAGTTTATTAATAATTTTTTTTAAAAATTGTAATTTAAAACTTAATTGTTTTAATAGAAAAATTAAGTTTTAGTAATGATTTTAATTTATAATTATTATTATTAATAATATTTTATGTAATGAATAGTTATAAATACAAAATTAAATATATAAACAAAAAAAAATGTTTATTAGTTATAATTATAATTATTTGGTTTCATTAGCTTTTATATTGACTACCGATGTTGTTGTTGGCCTAGAAATCGGTGATTACCCGAACATAACGGACACCAATCAGTGCGGTATCGGTCGTCAGTCGCATCTGTTGAACGACCAGTGCTTTGAATGGCATAAAAGTAATGATTTGATGTCCAATGTTGTCAACGGCAGGGATGTCCAGCCGGGAGAGTATCCATACGTTGTCTACATTGAGATTTGGGTCAGACTATCGAAATGGGGCGGAACTGATGGTCAAAAGTAAATAGTTTTTTTGTGTGGTTATATAAAAATTAAATCATCAATTTTTTTATATATATATCAATATATGACTATCTATTTAATAAAGTAGTGAGTGTACGGGATCTATACTCAACCAGCACTGGATACTATCGGCGGCCCATTGTTACAGTAATCTCGCGGGTATTGACTACTATAAGGTATTCGCGGGAACTATAGATAAGTCAAAACTGGGAACAGATTATGGAGTCGAAGAAGTCATTCTACACCCGAAGTTCGAGAGAACTCCTCGTAATCCCTATGATGTGGCGCTCATACGTGTGAAGACACCAATGGTTTTCAATGTTGGAGATAATGGTTACGCCTATCGACAGTTAAACAGTATCTGTTTGCCGCCTATCGATCATATGGTCACTGAATATGAGTTGGCATTAATTGTAGGTTTCGGTCGTATCAATGATACGTATGTCTCTACAAATAGGCTTCAAACTGGTTTGGTTAGGATATCAACTCAAAACCTAACCGATCCAAACATTATTAATGCCTATCAATATCCATATCCCGGTGGAGCACATATTTGTTTTGTAATAAATATATATATAATTCAAAAAATAATTACAGTATTAATAGATTATAAAATATTGTAATCATTTTTTTTTTGCAAACAATAGGGCGATTCCGGTGGTCCACTACTACAGTATGTCAACGGTAGGGCTGTCCTAATAGGAGTCAGTATTTGGGGAGACACTGGCGAAAACATCTGTAGTCCCAATCATCGGGTTTGGACAGCATTTGTCAAAGTGTCGGCAGTTTTGGATTGGATTATCGAAAACATATCGAAATAAAGTTTATTAATAATAATAATAATTATTATTAGTTTAGTTTAATTTTGTATTAGAAAACAAAACCTATAATTAATTAATTGTTAGTATAATATAATAGATAAATAATTTAAATAAATTAAAATAGTTAAAAAAGTTTTTTTTTTTATATTAAAACATTTTGTATTTGTATATAATAATAATAAATAGTAATTGTGTGTATGTTTTTTATACAATTAATGATAAAAAAAATTTTTATTTCACATTATTTACTTAATAATAAAAACATATAAATTAAAAAATAGTTTACTTAAAACTTTTTTTATTATTTAAAAAAGTATTAATAAAAGTTAATGAAAAATATTAGAAATTAGTAGACTTTCTTTTTATAAATTTTATTTTCAATATTATTATTATTTTTATACAAAAAATTTAAATTAACAAATATAGTAATAATCTATAATAGTTTGCATAGATATATAAAATACTTTTATTTAAAAAAAACAAATTGAACACAAAAAATGCATAAAAACAAAAAAAAATATTTTGAAAAAAAATCTAATTTACCTACTATTTTACATTAAATTAAAGTTTTATTTGATATTTTTTTTCTACACATGTGACTATGTTTTAAAATATTTGACTAAAAAAACTTATACCCATAAAAATTAGTTTTCAATCAATTGTTTTTTTTAAAAAAAATATTTATTCACTAATAAATATTAAGGTATATATGAAATAAATTCACTTATTATATTAATATAAATCAATTTTATATTATTTATTATTTTTATTTTTTGATTACGTATAATTTTTTATTAAAACAAATTAGATTACTACTACCACTACTACAGTATGTCAACGGTAGGGCTGTCATAATAGGTGTCAGTATTTGGGCAAACACTGGCAAAAACATTTGTAGTCCCAAACATAGGGTTTGGACAGCATTTGTCAAAGTATCGGCAGTTTTGGAGTGGATTATTGAAAAAATATCGAAAAAATAAAATTTATTATATTTTTAGTTTTTGTTTATTTTATGTTAATAAATCAAAATATTCAAGTTATCAAATAATTATTATATGTTATATAAATATCACAATTGGCAAATGTATACAGGATAATTTTAATATTTTAATATAAATTAATTAATTTTATTATTTTTAAAAATCATATTAATTGTATAAATATAGAAATTTAAATTATTTTTTTTTGGTAATAGAATTTTCTTAGGTATAACTATTATTAATGATTTAATATATATATAAGATTTATATATATATGTATTATTTATATAATTATATATCTAGTTTATTATTAATTTATAAACATTATTTATAATTAAATTCAAATAGTAATAAAAAAAAATTATTTTAGTTTTGCTTTTAGTTAGTAAATTGAATAGAAAAAATAATTAATTTACAAAGATATATATTTATATATATATATATTGTATTTATTTATGTCTTTTTTTATAAAATATTAATGTAATTTTAATTATGTTAAAAAATTGATTTTTTTGTTTACTTATTAACATCAAAATACTTCATAAATTATATAAATAAATAATTAATTAATATTTTTGTGAAAAAAAATTTTTATATTATTTATATTATTCAATAAAAAAAATATTGTCTTAACATAATTCAGTATTATATTACTAATAAAATATTAGATAACTGTGTGATATATTTCATAATAAATACATTAATTTTTAATAATATTTTTTTTTGTAAACTTAACTATTTTATAATACAACTATTTTTTAGTACTAAACTATATTATTATAAGCAGAGCGCATGTTTGTTATGTAACAAATATATATTTATATAATTTTTTAAAAAATTAATTTTTTTCAACTTTGAGATAATGAAAATAATTATTTAGCCTAATTATGTTTATAATATTATATTTTTTGAAAATGTTTGAAAATTGTTTTTCTTAAAAATATTTTTTTTTAAATAGATAATATAAATTATATGAAATAAAATATTGTACAAAAAATTACTGAAATATTATATTCATTATACTGTAGAAAACAATATTTTATTTAATGGAAAATAACAAAATCATAGCAAAATTTTTTTTATCATATTTAATACTTTGAAATTAAATACGTTTTTTAAAAAAAATAAATATTTATTACATTTAATTATTTGTTGTTAATGTTTTTAAATATTTTACTTAAATGTTTAAGCAATTATTAATGCAATTATAAAAATGTTTTGTTTGATAGCGTTGTGTAAGTAAAACTATTTAAAAAAAACAATTAATCAGAAAATTACAAAACAAACAAATAATTATTTTTTTTAAAACTTTAAACTCTTTGAAAGTCATGATCGGTGTTTGCAATGTTGTTGTGTTTGGCCTACAAATCGGTGATTATCCGGACATTACTAATACTACTGACTGTGGTATCGGTCGTGAGTCGCATCTGATGGACGACCGGTGCTTTAAATTTCATTCAAGTCGTGATTTTATGACCTCTTCCTCATCCTCTATAGTGTACGGAAGGGACGCAAAGAGGGCTGAATTGCCATATATTGTATACATTGAGGAGTGGAAAGACAACAAACACACGTATTTTGACTTTTTTATATATCTTAATATATACAGTATTACAAACATAACGGTTGCTAAAGCGGTGGTAGGGTAAGACCTCTTAACCCCCAAATACCCCCTGAATAACAACTTTATACATTTAATTTAAAAAATCTATCCTACCTGTCTGTCTGCAAATAAATAAATATATTAATAATAAATACATTATATATCTATTTTTATATAAATCCAGTTCTGAATGTACGGGAACTGTACTCAATCAGCACTGGATACTGACTGTTGCCCACTGTTTTGATAACTGTAACAACTGTTCATATAAAATATATGCGGGACTTATAGATGTTAGATATCCGGGCATTGATTATGGTATCAATAGAGTCATTAAACACGAAAACAATTCAGCTGTCAATGACTTAGCACTGATTAATGTGAAAATACCGATGAATTTTAGTACAAACAATGGTCACTATTATCGGCAGATAAACGGTATTTGTTTGCCGACTATCGATCACAACAACACTGACTATGAGTACGCCGTAATCGCAGGTTTTGGTTGGACTGAAGGAATTTTTTTCAAATCTCAGTTACAAATGGGTTGGATTCGCATCAATCCTATGGACACCCAAAACAATGATCCAAACCTGATATATGCCGTCACATATCCGAAACAGTCTAACGGTTCCCTAATTTGTTATGTAATAGTATTTTTACTTTAAATATAAAATATAAATATATATATATATTATTTAATGTATGTATATGTGTTTTTATTTGTTAGGGTGATACCGGTGGTCCACTGATACAGTATGTTAGGGGTAGGGCTGTCCTAATAGGTGTTGCTGTTGATTGGTGGAGTCAATTGGGAATATTATGCGAAGATTACGAACCGATGCGCATGTATTTCATAAGAGTTGCCACAAAAATCAATTGGATTATCGATAAAATCAGAAAAAATACAATTTAAAAATTAAATTAATTAAAATAATTTCTAATTAAAACTAATAGTTATCTAATATTACTAATTTAAAAGATTTTTTTTTGATAGACTAACTATCAATACTAATAGTAAAATTAACAGTTTTTAGATTTTATATACAGAGAACATTTCCATTTATGCAGTATAGGAATAGATACAATAAAATCTAACTACTAATACAGTAATATATAAATAAATTAATTAAATTAATTGCTTTCAAAAATTAAGTTATTATTATACCATTTAATAAATAAATATTAAAGTGTCTTAAAAATTTAATTTTCTAATAATTTTATGACTATTTTATAATTTATTTAGTTAACAATAATTATTATATTTCTAAAAAAATGTTTATTAGTTATAATTATTATTATTTGGTTTCATTAGCTTTTATATTGACTACCGATGTTGTTGTTGTCGTTGTTGGCCTAGAAATCGGTGATTACCCGAACATAACGGACACCAATGATTGTGGTATCGGTCGTCAGTCGCATCTGTTGAATGACCAGTGCTTTGAATGGCATAAAAGTAATGATTTGATATCCAATGTTGTCAACGGCAGGGATGTCCAGCCGGGAGAGTATCCATACGTTGTCTACATTGAGATTTGGGTCAGACTATCGAAATGGGGTGGAATTGATGGTCAAAAGTAAATAGTTTTTTTGTGGTTATATAAAAATTAAATCATCAATTTTTTTATATATATATCAATATATGACTATCTATTTAATAAAGTGGTGGGTGTACGGGATCTATACTAAACCAGCAATGGATACTATCGGCGGCCTATTGTTACCGTAATCTCGCGGGTATTGACTACTATAAGGTATTCGCGGGAACTATAGATAAGTCAAAACTGGGAAACAGATTATGGAGTCGAAGAAGTTAATGATAACTTATTAAATGTTAATTACTATTAACAATATATTAGTTTGATATATATACTGTATATATATATATATTTTATTAATTAAATAAAATAATTAAGATTATAAAATAAATAGTCCAGTAATTATCCCGGAAATTATGTCTAAAATTTTTTTTGAAAATAACTAATATTAGTTAATAAAAAACATTTATAATTTTTTTTTAATTATCATTATTTGATAATTGATTACATAACCATCGAAATTATATGTCTAGAAAAATAAATAAAAAAAACCTTTAGTTACTTATGAATAAAATATTTAATATAAAATTTTCAACAAATTTATTATTCAAATTTTAATTAAAACAGATATTTTTTTTTGCTGACTGTGCAAAAATAATTTACATTTAATAATATGTTAATATGTTTTTTTTAATAAATATGTTTATTATATAAAGTTTATATAATTTTAGTTAAATATAGATATGATTAATTTAATCTCTTTCTCTCTCTCTCTCTCTCTCTCTCTCATAATAATTATGACATTTAAAATATTATTTTTAATAATACAATATATTGTTTTTAATGATTTTTAATTACTCAAATTTTTTTTAAATAATAAATTGTTGTTTGTTTTACTTATTGTTATTATTTTATTAATTACTACTAATTTATTTTCAAATCTATTACAACAACAACAAAACATTAGAAATATGTGCAAACAATTAATAATATATTTTATTATAGCATTGTTTCAATCAACAAACCAAGTATGTTATTAATATAATAATTATTTAATTATAATTTTTAATTTATTAAATATTTAAAATTAAAAAATTATATATTTCTAATTTGTCCTTTAATTATAATAAAATTAATTTTTAGCATATACTTAATTAACAAATTTTATTAATAAAAATCTATAATACTTTTTACCAATTATTTGTTTTGATTAAATTTTTAATTTAATTTTAATTTATTTATTTTTTTAAATAAGAAAACATTATTAGCTGTCGATACGATAACTGTATCATCGCTGAGTCGGGCAGCAAATATCGGTGAATACTATGACGCCCGTAACGACCAGTTTCGGAAAATTAATTTATTTAACCAATCGATACCGTCCACTGCCATCACAACTACCGATACGCCAATGAATAGTCTTGAGATGAGCTATTCGGACACCTATAAGGAAAAATTTAATAAAATGGACATTGGTGCATCGTTAAAACTTAGTATGTTATTCGGGATGATTGATTTTGAATTATCCGGATCAGGCCATTTTTTATCCGAAACAAAATCAAGCTATCGGTTAGTTTTTATAATTATATTATATATAATTTATAGTCACAATTATATAGTGTATATTAATATAATATGTTAAAATTTATATATGTGTCTAATATGTTTAAGTATATACAGTATATATTATTATTATTCAGTGAATATCTATTATATTAGCATTTAGTTTTTTTAAATAAATTTTTAATATGAATTGTATATATATATACCATATATATATATATCTAATTATTGTTTAAAGTAAAAATAATTGTTTTTAATATATATATATAATCGGTAAATTAGATATTAATCTACAGTAGATATATTTTTTAATATATTAATTAAAAATATTTATAACTTGTTTTTTTAAATTTCATTACAGTTGCGCAAAAGTTTCAGTCATACAAAAAATGAAGACAAAAGAGGAATCAATTAATATAAACGACGAATCACTGAAACCATTGATTGATATGAAGCTATTGGACGAAATCGATGCAACACATGTAGTGGTCGGCAAAGTATTTGGCGGAAATGTCATCGTTTCGGTAGAAAATAAAAATGAAGAAAATAAAGATGTCCATCAATTAGAGAGAAATCTTGCCGCAAATATTAAATATTATTTAATTCAAATTTCTGATTATTTGGGTTTACTTGACATTGATTACAAAAATATATTAAATGAATATAATTTCAGACTAGTCGGCGACATAGTACCTGATGTTATGTTTATAAAAGTAACCGATGCACTCAGATATGTCAGTAATTTACCAAGATTATTAAAATCTAGTAATCAGGATTTAGAAAAGGTAATTGAATATCATTTGCTACCAATTAATGTAGTGAGAAATTTAAATTCAATTGCAATTAAACAAAATGCAATAATTTATACAATTAATGATAGCTTAGTAAATCAATTTGTAGATTACTTTGATAATATGTTGGAAATTGAAATTAAATTAAACGATATCAAAAAATTTATGTTAAAATATGATCCGTATATTAGTGATAGTGTTTTTACTGAATTTAATAGTTTGTTAACTGATTTTAGTAATTATAATCAAAATCAAACAAATTATTTAAAAATTTTATTAATAAAAATAAGAGGTGGAAATGATAGTGTAGATAAATTGGCAAATGTATTACTAAATCCCTACAATAATCTTTACTCAGTATTTATTATGAATCTAAAAATTAGATATTATCACAACATAATTAATCAATTAATTGCATCGAATATTAGAAATAAATTAACTACTAATTGTGTTTTCGATAAACACAATTACCTAATAAACAAGTTATATAACAATTTTAACATTAGTATATATATATTATTTTATAAATGGCATAACAATGACGCAAAAAGTCATATTATTAACAAAGAAGCAATTTGTGAATTTAAACAATTGATAAACAAAAATAATTTTCAACAGAAAGACAATTCATTGTATTGTTTCTATAATTATGAAGTAATCAACAATGAAGATAAAAAATTAGCCAATATTACAGAAATCAATAATTTTAAACCACAATTAAGTTATTTTTATGAAGGAGAATTAATTCTACAAAATTTGTTACCAATTGTCAATTATTTAAGTTTTATATTAGCATGTGGACGTAATTTGAACCAAACTTATATTGTTTGTAAAAAATATGATTATAATAAAAATATCTGGTCAGACACAAAAACAATTTTCAATAAAGCAGGTGTTTATAACTTAATTCAATATAACAACAATATCTATTCAATTGGTGGACATACTGACATAGCAATTAATGTAAGTTTAAATAAAAATTTATTTTATAATAATTTTAATAAAAATATTTAATAATATAATTAACTAATGTTATTGTCTAAAAATATAAGTTATAAAGTTTTTAAATTATAATTTATATGAATAATTTTTCTAATATTTTTAAATTTTAATTATTATTATAATTACATTTTTAATTAGCATATCAAATACAACAAAATCTTATATATCAGTTATTTTAACTAATTAATTTATTTTATTTGTTTTTTTAGTCTTTCGCTCTCAAATTAGTTTCTGTATGCGATCCTTATGTTAATTTATTCAAGAAAATTTCCTTTTTAAATGTACCAAGGCGGTAAGATAAATCAAAATTTATATATTAATTTTATAATAAAATTATGATACGTTTAAATTTAGATTAAATATATTAAATTTATTATTTGATTACAATTATAATTTTATAAAGATATGTCGGTATGCATTTAGTAAAATATTAATTATTTTTATATTTAAATTTACAAAATTTTTATCTTTGCAGATCACATGCTATAATTGTTCATAAAAATAAATTATATACTTGTGGCGGTATTGACATTGGTATTGATTATAAATCATGTGAAGTTTATGATAGCAATGAAAGTAAATGGAAATTTATTTCATCGATGTCTACATCTCGAAATAATTTTAATTTAGTTTCATTAAATGATTATATTTATGCATTTGGCGGACAAACTAATTTGGAAAGATATGATTCAATTAATGATCAATGGAGTTTAATTAGCAATATTACTATTTATAAGTATTATTTATTTTCTAGATAAACAATTGTTATTATTATCAATTAATTTATATAGAGAGAAAAATCCTGAATGTGCTGTGGCATTTAATAACTTTATCTATGCTTGTGGTGCTGGTACATTTTATGAAATTTGTTGGAAATACGACCCATCTAATAATAACTGGATTAAAATTGGTAATAAATAAAAATGTTTTTATATATATTATTATAGTATATATATTATTATATAGTAATTATAAATTTTAATATCTAATTTGTTTTAGTATTTATAATTAAATTATCATTGTTTTTTTATTAATTTATAAATATTTTATTAAATTAATTAATTTCTTTATATTTATTTATTAAATAGCATCTATATATTATCAAATTAACTGCAGATTGTTAGTCTATAATGGAAAATTGTTTATTTTTAGTTACAAAGGTAATATTTAGTTACAATATATATTTGTTTTACTAATTTCAATAAATCATTATAAACTAATTAAAATATTCATCAACAAATATTTTATAAATTATATTAGTTATTTCATATTAAATTTAAAATAATTTAAATTTTTTTTAATTAAAATTATACTTTTTTATATTTAAAGGGAGATTTTTTTATATATACGATGATTTAGCTGATAAATGGATAAATCAAACATCAATACCATTAAATGACATTTATACTGTAATTATAATTTATAATAACTATTTAATTATAAAATAATCAATTAATTATTTATAATAATATAGACGACAACATTTTCTACAATATAATTAACATATTAATATTAACAATATATATATGTTAAAAAATTAGTATTCATATTACTAATATTAAATTATTATATAATTGAATATTATAGAATTTTTTATAATAGTTATAAATTAATTATAATAAAACTTTTAATTGTAATAAATTTATCTTTTATAATGAATTTACTATTTTAAAACGAAAAAATTATTATTAACTGAATTTTATTAAAAATTAATTAATTAAAACTATTAAATATTTAAAATTAATTAAATTAAAATCTAATGTTTGATGATTTTTATTCTGTCAAACTAAAGGTCTGTGAATCTGCGATCTTTTGATTTATAGGTTTGTCTGATATCATAATTCATAAATAATGTATAATCTATAAACAAATCAAAAGACAGACCGACGGACCGAAAGACAATATCCATTATTTGTATCACCCGTTTTTACAATGATTGCATTGCACGGGGTTTTGAGAACCCTTAAACTATGTTTCTCTCTAGTATTGTTGGTTTTATTGTGTATATCACTCATAACCGCCGATAGTTCAATAGTTGACCGTCCTGGTATCTATTTCGGGTTGTCGTTATCGACAGACATACAGACATACAGATATACAGACATACAGACATACAGACATACAGATATACAGACATACAGACATACAGACATACAGACATACAGACATACAGACATACAGACATACAGACATACAGACATACAGACATACAGACATACAGACATACAGACATACAGACAGAATATAATAAATAATAATAATAAATAATAATAATAATAAATAATAAATAATAAATAATAAATAATAAATAATAAATAATAAATAATAAATAATAAATAATAAATAATAAATAATAAATAATAAATAATAAATAATAAATAATAAATAATAAATAATAAATAATAAATAATAAATAATAAATAATAAATAATAAATAATAAATAATAAATAATAAATAATAAATAATAAATAATAAATAATAAATAATAAATAATAAATAATAAATAATAAATAATAAATAATAAATAATAAATAATAAATAATAAATAATAAATAATAAATAATAAATAATAAATAATAAATAATAAATAATAAATAATAAATAATAAATAATAAATAATAAATAATAAATAATAAATAATAAATAATAAATAATAAATAATAAATAATAAATAATAAATAATAAATAATAAATAATAAATAATAAATAATAAATAATAAATAATAAATAATAAATAATAAATAATAAATAATAAATAATAAATAATAAATAATAAATAATAAATAATAAATAATAAATAATAAATAATAAATAATAAATAATAAATAATAAATAATAAATAATAAATAATAAATAATAAATAATAAATAATAAATAATAAATAATAAATAATAAATAATAAATAATAAATAATAAATAATAAATAATAAATAATAAATAATAAATAATAAATAATAAATAATAAATTATTTTTGAATTTAAAATCAGACAAATTGACTGACAGGCCGTCAAACAAATCAATAGACATACCGACAGACCGACAGACCGACAGACCGACAGACCGACAGACCGACAGACCGACAGACCGACAGACCGACAGATAATAATAGAGAGAGAGTATTTAATTTTTTTTATTATTTATAATTATAACATTTTAATATAGTAAGATTTAAGTTTTTTTCTTTATATAATTTATATTTTTATTTATAAATTGAATATATTAATAATGATTTCAATATAATTAAAAGTATTATTAATACTAAACATTTTTAATTACATACAATTAATAACATTTTTATAATTATTATTATTATTAATAACATATATTAAAAAGAAGTAAATCCAATCACCTAATATTTCCATAAAAAACAAATATTATTTTACAATAAATGTTAAAAATAATTTAATTACTTCATAAACTTCAAACAATGGTATTGTTGTTTCATTAATCCATTCATCAGATAAGTAATCGTATACTTGAAAAGTTAATTCTCCTATAAAAATTTTAAAACAATAATTATAATTTAAAGGGTGTCTATTTCTTGTGTTTTTTTTACTAAACTAATAAAAAATAAAAAAATATATTACTTACTGTTGACATAAAAATTTATAAAATTAAATAATTTTTCATTGTAAACTATCAAGTTGCAGTAACTTATATATTTTTTTGGTGATGCTTATTGATGTAGATAGTTTTTTATGTTAGAAAAAATATTAAAAATTAATAAAATATATAAATAATTTTTTTATTATTACCTATAGCAATCCAGCTATTATTTCTTGGGTCATATTTCCAACAATTATTTCCAAATTTATAACCAGAACCACAAGCATAAATAAAATTCATAAATACAACAGCACATGATGGATCTCTATATTTGTTTTAACCAATTATATATATAAACCAATTATACTAATGTTAAAAATCAAACAAATAATACATATCAATAGTTATGTTGCCAATTATTGTCCACTGGTCTTTAACAGGATCATATTTTTCAATGTTATTATCATAAGAATTAGCACTGCCCAATGAATAAATATAATCGTTTAGTGAAACTAAATTAAAATGATCTTTATATGTAGACATTGATGCAATATATATCCATTCATTTTTATTACTATCGTAAACTTCACATGATTTTAAATTGAAAAGTGAAGAACCACCACAAACATATAATTTATTTTTATGAACGATTACAGATGGTTTTCTAAATATTTGAAAAATAATTATTATTTTTGTAATTTTATATAAGTTTAAATAAATATTCTGAAAATTTTAAAGTAAATCTTTTAATTCATACGCTCTTGGTATATTTAATAAGGAAATATTGTTCCATAAATTAATAAATGGATCATAAATTTCAACTAAGTTTGTAGCATAATTCTGATAAATTTAAAATAAAATAATTAGTTTACAAGAAATAATCAATTTATACAATATTTTTACAGTACAATACAATATAATAGTAATTATAAGCTTACATTTGTTGGATTGTGAGAATATCCTCCAATTGCAAATATTTTGTTATTATACTGAGATAAAGTATAGAAAAAACGTCTATAATAAAGTCCATTTGCGTCACTCCAAAGATTTTCAATAGGATTATATTTTTTACAAACTGAATAAAATTTGTTTAGATAATTAGATCCACAAACAAATATAAAACTTAAGTGATCGACAATATTTAATAAATTTTGTGACAACAATTCTCCTTTCTGAAAATAACTTAACTGTGGCTTTAAGTTATTCAAATCACTAATATTAGCTATTTCTAAATCCAGATTATTGATTACTTCGTAATTATATGTACAATATAATAAATTTTCAATTTGTGGAGAATTTTTTTTAATT